GAAACAAGTCAGAGGAAGACAAACACTGCGCTCACACCCGGGACCTGGAAACCCACAGACACTCAAACACACCTGGGCACTGGGAGGCGGACGTGCGGCGACGAGGGGGTGTCGGGGCGGTGCCGCCGGGTGCAGGCACACCTGCGGGGGTTGGGGCCGTCAGAGCTGGGGACGCGTGGAGGGGCTGCCCCCAGCGGCAGGCAGAGAGGAAGGTGCAGAGTGTCCCGCTGCTGGGAGGTACTGTCCCCCCGACCCCCGGCGTCGTGTTGGGAGAGACGTGGGCTGGACCATGGTGTAGCCCTGCCACAGCGGGCGGGCGGGCGCCCTGAACTTACACAGCGAGGTGTCGTGATTATTTCTCAACAAAGTGGAGACATTTTAGGTTCAGCTTACAAAAGTTATGTGTATGCATTCAGCAATTTTTTAGAAAGATTTTATTTATTTATTTTTAGAGAGGGAAGGGAGGGAGATAGAGAGAGAGAGAGAGACACATCAATGTGCGGTTGCTGGGGGCCGTGGCCTGCAATCCAGGCGTGTGCCCTGACTGGGAATCGAACCTGCGATGCTTTGGTTCGAAGCCCGCTCTCAATCCACTGAGCTACGCCAGCCGGGGCCATTTGGTGATTTTTAACAGTGATTTTGAAGGAGACTCTAATAGTACTGCATCCCATTTCATAAACGTAATTGTGTCAAACGTTTACAATTCATCTGTAAATTCACTGTAACCGGACCTTCCCATGAAGTGTGGTGTGCCCAGTGCATGAGTGTGAATTCAGGGGACTGTACAGCCGCTTAACAGTTCTGGTGTTTTCCACCAACTGTTAAAATTTCCAACTGGAACCCCAAGTCTAAGTCGCTGTTCCCGTCACGTGGGGACGGCTGGAATCGCTCAGGCCCGCCGCTGGTGGGTCTGGCGGACTCTCCCCACCGGCAGCCCGGCGCGGACGCAGGAAGAGCGGTCCGCGTGCACTTGCCCACGTTTCCCCCCCAGGCTTCCTGGGGGCTGAGTGCGCGGTGCACAGGCGATCGCCGCGGGGCCCTTGCCGGGGTCCAGATGCCGCCCGGACCAGGTCTCTGGGTTTGCCAGCGGGTGTCTAGACGCCTGGGGGACCGGAAGCCGCATGGGAGGGGGAGTGACCAGTGACGTTGGCTAATTACATGACCTGGGTTTCAGACGAACCCTTCTGTGTCATGTCATCTGCCTGTCGCCCTGCGTGCCCACCACCCAAGGTCAAGCCTCCTTCCGTCACCGTGTATTCGGTCCCCTTCCCCCTCTCCGTCCTCCCCCACCCCTCCCCTCTGGTGACCACCATGCTGTTGGCTGTGTGTGTGAGTTGGTCTGTCTGCTGCTTTCTGTGTGACGCCCCACATGCGCGTGAAACCACAGTCCCTGTCCTTTCTGCCTGACTTAAATTTAGCACCGTCCTCTCAAGATCCACCCGTGTTGTCGCAAACGGCAGTCTTTCCTCTTTTCTTATGGCTGAGTGGTATCCGTAGCATATATGTACCATTTCTTCTTTTTTTTTTAAAGATTTTATTTATTTTTAAGCCCTGGCTGGCGTAGCTCAGTGGATTGAGCGCGGGCTGGGAACCAAAGTGTCCCAGGTTCGATTCCCAGCCAGGGCACATGCCTGGGTTGCAGGTCATGACCCCCAGCAACCGCACATCGATGTCTCTCTCTCTCTCTCTCTCTCCGTCCCTCCCTTCCCTCTCTAAAAATAAATAAATACAATCTTTAAAAAAATGACTGTTTAAAAAAAGATTTTATTTATTTTTAGAGAGAGGGGGAAGGAGAGAGGAAGAGAAAGAGAGGGAGAGACACATGATGTGCAAGAGAAACACGCCCCTAACCCAGCCCACAGCCCAGGCAAGGTGCCCTGACTGGGAATTGAACCAGTGACCCTTTGGTTTGCAGGCTGGCGCTCAATCCACTGAGCCACACCAGCCAGGGCTGTACCACTTCTTCTTTAGCCAGTCATCCATCCAAGGACACAAGGATAAGAATCAGATGATCATATCAATAGAGCAGAGAAAGCGTTTGACAAGATACAATATCTACTTATGATGGAAAAACTCAGTAAGATGGGCATCGAGGGAAAGTACCCCAACATAACGAAGACACAGGACAGGCCCTCAGCTAACAGAGTCAGCAGTGAAAACTGAAAGCTTTTGCTCTAGAATCAGAAACAAGTCCAGGCCGTCCATGCTGGTGAGCATGGACTCCTACTCAACATGGTGCGGAGGCCCTGGCCGGAGCAGTGGGGCGAGAGAGAGAAATTCACGGCACCCAAACTGGGAGTGAAAGTGAAAACCGTTAAAGACTCCGGTAAAAGACTACCAGAAACACAGAACAAATACAATAAAGTAGCAAAATACAAAATCAGTGCACAGAAGTCTGTTGCATTCTTACATGCTAACAATGAAATATCAGAAAAGTAAACGAGGAAACAGTCCCATTTGCAATTGCAACACGGAGAATAAAACACTTAGAATAACCCTAACACAGAAAGTGAAGGGCCTGCACGCTAAGGACAGTGAGTTTCGAAATCAGGAAATGCAAACCCTCCAATTTTGTTCTTTTTCAAGATTGCTTTTGGCTTATAGGGACCCTTGAGATTCTGTGTGAATTTTAGGATGAGTTTTTCTATTTCTGAAAAAGACGTCTGGAAACTTGACAGGGATTGCGCCGAACCTGGGGTCGCTTTGGGGAGTGTCGACATCTTACCGACATTAAGTTTCCTAATTCACGAGTGAGTGTCTTTCTGGTCTTTACTTTCCCTCGGCAGTGTTTGTGCTTCTCCTTGGTTAGTTTTATTCCTGAGTATTTTATTCTTTTTCATGCTATTATAAATGGTTTAACATTTTTTTGATTGTTCATGGCAGGTGCATAGAAATACAACTTGTTTCTGTGCTGACTTTATATCCTGAAACGTTGAATTCATTAGTTACAGTAATTTTTGGTGGATTTTCTACAAATTTAGGGCTTTCCACATACAAGATATGTTGAGGTTTTTACAGGGACTGCATTGAATGTGTAGATTAGTTGGGGCGAAGGGACATCCAGTGAGGTCACACTTGAATGGCACTTGTAGTGAACTTTAAACTTGAGAACTCGAGTCTGTAATCCTGGAAATTTCTCACTAGTCCCTTCAGACGTTGCTTCTTCGGGGTTCTTTCCGGGAACGAACCAGGTTTGGTGTGTGACCACCTCCCTTCTGTCTCACTGTTTCCGTCTTCCTGGCTCTGCGGGTGAAGTCTTAGTTCTGTTTCCTAAACCATTAATACTGTCAAACCACGTCACCAGCCTCGAGTATGGCTCATTATTATTGTTGATATTTCAGTAACTGTTTGTTGCCAGGACCTCTAGTTTCTGCCTGTTTTGCTTCATGGTTTCCTGATTTTGACTGAGCAAAGTTCATTTTCCAAGGGTTGACCCCAGTAGCTGAGTGCCTCTCGGCACGGACCCTCTCATGCCCGATGGGATTTCGTTTGGAATGGATTTCCCTGTTGCCCTTCTTTTTTCCCTCCTGAGAGTTTTGATCTTATTTTGACCCCAGTCCCCCCTCAAATTTCATTCCTTGCTGCAGTGTATGTAGGGCCACAAAGCTGTCTTCACCAAGATTCCCGGGTGTGTTTCAGTGGCGCCGCCCACAGGATTGCTGGAGATCTGCTGTGGGCCGCAAGGGGGAAGGAATCCAGACGAAGCCTTGGTTTTGGCCTCGGTGGCAGTTGACGCGTCACTGCGGGGAGGGGGGGGATACTGGGAAGAAGCGAGACTGCGGGTCAGAGTCAGAGGCTCTTCAGTCGCCACGGTGTGACTGCAACTCTGAACTTCAAAAACAAGGACACTTTGTAAAAGATATTTTATTTATTTTTAGAGAGCAGGAAGGGAGGGAGAAAGGGAGAGAAACATCGATGTGTGGTTGCCTCTCGTGTGCCCCATCACCAGGGACCTGGCCCACAACCCAGCATGTGCCCTGACTGGGAATCTAGCCCTTGACCCTTTGGTTCGCAGGCCGGTGCTCAATCCACTGAGCCACACCATCCAGCTGGAAACAAGGACATTTTTAATACTTGCGTTAAAGTTTGGAACGGAGTTCTTTAGGTGTTTAATGTTGTAGGCTTTTGGTTAATAATCAGGTGGAAATGTTTAAAATGCAGGATATCTGAGCCCAGAATTCCAGATTTGAGCTAAGTGTGTCCGCTGGGAGTAATAAGCACACTGTGGTATTCAGAGCTCGGGGGGTCCCGTATGGAGTGAGCCCTGGGGGTCCGCTTTTCGAGTCTGGCAGAGGAGGTGACGCTGGAAAGACCCAGAAGACGAGAGGAGACTGAAGGGCAAGAGTAGAAGGGAAACCATGCAGTAACAGGACCCGAGTGTCGGAACGGGGAGGGAGAAGGCCCCTCTCAGCGTCTCCAGGGGATGTGGGGAGGGGGCCGGGGTGGACACAGCTGAAGGGACTGAGGGCAGGTGGAGCAGGGGCTGGGGGGACACCGGCAGAGCTCCTGGGGGAGGGGCGCAGAGGGGTGTGCTGCAGCCGAGGCGCGGGTGGGGTCTTGCCTTTCGGCTTCAGGCTGGAGTCTGTTTTCCCGGGAAGGAACCGATTGGGGTGGTTTTCCTGAGTCCACCTTCCGGCCCTGGTGTCCATGGGATCCTGCGGCCCAGTGAGGAGGGGCCATCTGTCCAGGACCGTCAAGCTCCATCCTACTCCCGCCCGCCCCTCACCACCACCGCCTCTCGGGGGGCAGCTGGGCTGCAGGGGGGTCGCTCTGGGGGTGCGGTGCAGGCCTGGACGCAGCCGGAGGGCAGATCCGAGGCGCGGCCAGGTGCCAGGCATCCGCCCAGTGCTGGCTGTGCTGGTTCAGCCGCGCGACACTGGGGGGGGGGGGGAGAAGAGCCTCACCCCGTGCCAGCGCTGTGCTCCGACAGGGGGGGACACAGGCAGGAGGGTGGTGGGAGGGGGTGCTGCCTTCTTACCCCCCCCGTTCGTTTCTGCCAGGATCCTGGCCACGGCCGGCACCGACTTCGACCTGCGGACGCTGCGGGCCGTGCGGGTGCTGAGGCCCCTCAAGCTGGTGTCTGGGATTCCGAGTGAGTCTGGGGAAATCCCGGAGGCTCCAGCCCGCTCCTCCCCCGCCCACGGCCACGGCCACGGCCGGACCAGGGGCCTGTGAGCTTGCTGCTCCCGACCCCAGGGTGCCGGGCGGAGCGGGAGCAGCGGGCTTTGGGGGGCGCCCTCCACACGGCGGCCGAGGGGGACTCGGCTTCCCCAGATGGGCGCCGGGCCGTGTCCTCGGTTGTCCCCGCCGAGATGGTCTCAGCATCCCTGCCCTTCCCTCGCGGCATTCCCCGCTCTTCCTCCCCACAGTTCTCTGCGCTCCCCTTCCAGAATCTTCCGCAGGCCCTCGGGCTTCCTCCTCCGCTCCCCTGCACCCCGCTCAGCCCACCTCCCCCGAGACCCCTAGGGTTCGTCCCCGCCCCAGCGATGCGCAGCTCTGCCCTCCTTCCCCGAGGACTCCCGGGCCCTGCTGGGTCCTTTCTCGGAGGGCTCCAGGCTCCATCCCTGGTTCTCACCAGTCCTCCCTGCCCGGGCGCCTAGCCCCGGACTCCCGGTCCCACCCCCAGGGCTCGGCCCCGCCCCCAACGCCCGGCCCCGCCCTCACGACTCTCCGCCCCGCCCCCAGGGCTTCCAGGCCCCGCCCCCAACTCCGGCCCCCGCCCTCACGACCCTCCGCCCCGCCCCACTGCTCTCCGCTCCGCCCTCCGCCCGCGCTCCGCCCTCTGACTCGGCTCTCTCGCTCCGCTCCGGCCCAGGTCTGCAGGTGGTGCTCAAGTCCATCATGAAGGCCATGGTTCCGCTGCTGCAGATCGGGCTGCTGCTGTTCTTCGCCATCCTCATGTTCGCCATCATTGGCCTCGAGTTCTACATGGGCAAATTCCACAAGGCCTGCTTCCCCAACAGCACAGGTGAGGCCCACACCCGTCTGTCCCGGAGCTGTGCCTGTTCTAGCAGCCGGGGCCTCCAGGTGCCCGGCCAAGGACGTGCACAGAACGGGTCTGCTGAATGCAAACGCGTGAAGAGGACAAGTGCAGGCTGTAGGGACTGTGGGAAGGGAGCCCAGAGGGTATCAGAGGTGCAGTGGCCGTGGGGGCGCGCTTCACCAGTACTGGCCGGGAGGCCCGAGGGGACAGTGAGCAGGTGTCAGCGCAGTGAGGGAGAGCTGCGTGGCCGCCTGGCCAGGGCTTCCGCCGCAAGGCTGAGTGTCCTGGTGGCTGTGGCCGGACCCCCAGGGCTCCGGGGGCGGGCTGTGGGAGGCGAGGCCTGTGGGGCCATGGGTTTGCGGGGGGGCGAGGCCATGGGGGTGAGGGGATGACAGGCAGGGACAGCACCGGCTTTGGCTGGAGCTGCAGACATGTTCAAGGAGGACGCACGTAACCGTCCTGGTAGTGGAGAAGGGCTTTTCCTGAAGCTTCGGGTCTTGACAGTCTCTGACCAAACTGGAAATACACGGGAATTTTCTCAACACTCCCCATATTTCCTGCAAACATCATTCTTTTTTTTAAAGATTTTATTTATTTAGCTTTAGAGAGGGAAAGGAGGGAGAAAGAGAGAGAGAGAGAGAGACATCAATGTGCAGTTGCTGGGGGTCGTGGCCTGCAACCCAGGCATGTGCCCTGACTGGGAATCGAACCTGCGACACTTTGGTTCGCAGCCCGCACTCAATCCACTGAGCTACGCCAGCCAGGGCTGGCAAACGTCATTCTTTGCTGGGAATGTTGAGGGCCTTCCCTTCAAAGCCACAGACAAGACGAAGGCACCTGCAGTCGGTCACTTCTGGTCACGTGGCTCTGACCGCCACGGCCGGGAGGCCGGGAAGTGGTGGCCAGTCCGTCCGGGATCTGAGAGCAGGAAAGAGAAGCTCCTGCTCCGGAGAACACAGGGAGCTGCAGGCAGTGACTGTCCCGGCCCCCCTGTGAGCGTTTATTAAGATATTTGGAGGAAGGAGGATAAACCCGTGTGGTCAGCTTTGCCTCCAACCCTGGGGTGTCGGTTTCCTCCCGGAATCGCCCAGGAGCTCTCCCGTGTCGGTGGGCGGGGCTTCTGTGTGCTAACAAACCCAGTTTCGTGCCTCCCACCGGGGTTCTGGGAGTGGAGGGGCCTGGCACGTGCTGCTGGCATCTCGCCGCAGAGCTTGGCGCTGGTTCCTGGCGATTCTTCCTCGTCCCTCTGTGTGGCCCCGGCTGCCGGCCGGGCTCCTGCCCCCAGCACGTCCCGGTGTGGGGCCAGGCAGTGCGTCCCCCAGGTGTCCTCTGGGTGCGGGGGGGCGGGGTGGCCCTGGGTCCCCTGCCTGAGGAGCACTGGGACTTCGGTGGCTGAGGCCAGCGTAGTGTTGGCTCCGGAGTGACGGGCAGGCGTTCCTGTCGGGGGGAGCCACGTGGCAGTCTGGCCGTGGGGGGGAGAGGACCTAGGCTGAGGAGTCTGTGGCTTCTGGCCTCCAGGTGAAGGAATCCCGAGCGAGCAAGTTCGGCTGGGACGGGCGGTTCTGGCAGAGGGCAAGGGTGGGTCTGAGCTCAGGCTGCAGATGAGGGCGGGCGGCAGGGAGTGTGGAGGGCTCCACAGGTACCCGCTCTCTGCCCTCCTGGGTCAGGTTCTCCCGTCCGGGAGGGGAGGGGTCGGAGACCTCGGTGCCACTGAGCTCGGGGCCTGAGCCCCGCCCTCCTGTACGCAGACGCGGAGCCGGTGGGCGACTTCCCCTGCGGCAAGGAGGCCCCCGCCCGGCTGTGCGAGGGCGACACCGAGTGCCGGGAGTACTGGCCGGGGCCCAACTTCGGCATCACCAACTTTGACAACATCCTGTTCGCCATCCTGACGGTGTTCCAGTGCATCACCATGGAGGGCTGGACCGACATCCTCTACAACGTGAGTCTGCCTGGGCCCTGGGGCTCTGGGCCCCACGGGTGGTGCCTCTGGCCGGGAGCCTCTGCCCGGCCCTGGGCTCCTTCCTCAGACCCCGCCCGCCCCCCCTCCCCTGCTGCGGGCTCACTGCGATGCCTCTCGGCTGGAGATCCCTCTCGGCTGGAGCTCCTGACCGGACGGAGCCTGCAGCTTCTGTCGGGACGGAGAACTGAGGGCCGGGGGCGGAGCTCTGAGAAGGCGATGCCCCGGAAGGTCGTCCGGAGGCGGGCGAAGGCAGACGAGTGTGGTCCTGGTCCAGCGGTGGGAGGCATTTCACCCACGACCTGGGGGCTCGGGGCTGGCGGATCGCTGGCCGCGGAAGACTGGCTGAGGGTCCCTGCTGGGCCTTCCGTGTGGAGAAGGGGGCAGCGGGCGGCCTGGGGATGACTGAGCAGCGGTTGGCTATAGGACTCAGGGACACGTCCGTCACCACACGGGAAGCCAGGGTGAGCCTGTGTCCTCCTCAGTGTCCTCGCTGTCTCAGCATGGCTCCCGGCCCAGACAGTCACGCACAGCGAGCCACCCACTGGGCAGTCTGGGCTTGGTGCCACGGGCTGGGGGCGGCCCGGTGACCCCGTCCCTCCCACCCTCCCTGTGCCGCAGGCCCTTCTGCTGCTGCCCAGACCTCTGTCTTTTTAAAATGTGATCGCCTCCCCTACCTGCCCCCTGCCCCCACCCCCAGCCACCTTCTACCCCTAGAGCCCTGGGAACCGCTGGGCCGGAGAACAATTAAGTCAGTGCCCCAGGGGCTCTGGAGGTAGAGCTGGAAGGTGCGTGGGAGCCAGGACGCAGCCTCTGGCTGGGAGGGTGGGGCTGGCGGATTGCTGGGTTTTGCGTGGCTGCAGGGTGTGCAGATGCCATGGGGGGGGACTTTGGAACACAAGGCACTTCCCCTTGAACCCTCGCCTGCGCGGCTTGGGCAGCTCGGGCAGCTCGGGGCGGTCGTGATGGGACGGGAGGAAAGGGGCGACGGGCCTCTGCGCTCTGTACCTCCTCCGGGGGCTTGGGGGCCCCAGGGGGCCCTGGGGCTGGGCACGGAGCGGGTGCCGGGTGGGTGCGAGGCGGCGGCTGGCGGGAGAGCTGGCCCGAGTCTGCTGCACTAGATTCCTCCGTGCGGTGGGCGTCCTGTCTGATGACAGCTCCGTGTGATCGAGGGACAAAAGCGATGACGAGGAGCTTGGCTGTTCTCTCCCCGCAGCAGATCAAGGAACAATTTCCACAAAGACGGGCCCTAAAAATAGCTCTGCGCTGGTCACATCCCTGCCAGCCCCACCCAGACGAGGGAGGGCAGGGCCGCCTGCACCGCCCCCGGCACTCCCTGGGGCTTGGCCGGAGGCCGAGAGCTGGGGGTCTGGGCCCCTGGGGTGGGGGTGGGGGGGCGCAGGAACCGGGTGGGGGCAGGAGGAGACGCTGTCAGGAGAGGCCCCAGAGCCCGTCCCACACAGGCCCCACGGGGGGCCGGGCGCCTCCTGAGGCTCCAGCCGCAGCACTTGGTACCTGCGGGCTCGATGGGGGCGATGCTTGGAGAAGACCCCTGAGGGTGAGGCCCCAGTGGCTGTGGGGGGGGCACCAGGATGCGGCGACGGTGGCCTGGGCGCCCACAGCAGGTGGCCGCTGTCCACACCGAGGGGTCCGGGTCGCTTGCAGGCAGTCAGGGTGTCTGAGGAGGGCTCTCTGCAGGGAGAGGCTGCCCTCGCCTCCAGCCCAGTGGGGGCGCCCCGGCCCCCCAGAAGTGGGCTCCTCAAGCCAAGGGGCACACGCCGTGTCAGGAGCCCAGTGGCGGGATGCTGGCAGGTCAGCGGTTGCCAGGGGCCAGTGGGCAGCCAACGGCCCCTCCGTTCTGCCGGAGGACGACGGCGTCTCCGCGGGAACCTGTGCTCAGAGAGGACCCTGGAAACCTGGTGGCTGTGGGGGCCCTCCCCAGGGGCAGGGAAGGGGCTCCCGGGGTTCTGGGAGGTGAGCGAGTCGGCAGTGAGCGCCTTTGGGGCCGGAGAGACGGACGGTTTCCTCGGGGCAGCGGCCAGAAGGAAGAGCTGGCCTGCGCCCTGCTCCCTCCCAGCCTGTGGCGGCACTGGGAGTGCAGCCCGCCAGGCAGCTGCGGCAGGAGGGCCGATGCTGGGCCTGGGGGCACGGGGGCGTTGTGCGCACCCCCCCACCCCCATGGTCACCGGCCGGCCCGGCCCCTCCCTGAGGAGCACGGCGGCCCGTTCATCAGCAGCTGAGACGGAGACGGTCACTGAACTGAGGCTCTTCTGTCTGAAGTGATCGTCGGGCTTTCCGCTGCCCAGCCCTTGGCCGGGTTCTCTGCCGGGGCCACAGCCACCCAGGTTGGGGGGGGACCGTGCTGGTTCGCGGTCATGGACGTGGGGTGCTGACATGCTCGCTGCACCGAGCAGCGGCCTCGCCACGCCCTGAGGGGGGGAGTGTCAGAGGCCGGGTGTCTGCAGGGAGCGCGGGGCCGGCTTGCCGGCCGCGGGGGTGTGGGGCGAGGGGGCAGCTGCGGGGAGCGGGTGCCCTCCACTGAGTGGGGAGAGTGGTAAGCGAGGTGCCGGCTCAGTTTGCTTCTGCAGAGACCGGGGGCGCCCCAGTGTTCTGGCTCAGCCCGGCACGTTTCAGTGACCCCTCCGTCCCAGTGGGCTGCTGAGTGTGCAGGTGGCAGACGGGGGCTGGCAGGGCTGAGGGCGTGTGTGTGAAGTCGCCAGTGGGGCGGACGGTCATGGGGGCGGAGGAGGTCGCCGGGTAACGAGCATGGACGGAGACCTGGGGCCGTCTCCGAGCCTGTGGCTGGGGGCGGGGGTCTGGCGTTCACAAGGAGCCCGAGGTGGGCTGGGGTGGGGGTAGGAGGAACTTCAGGGACAGCAGAGCAAAGCAGGCACGTCAAGAGCGTGGTGAGCCAGGTCAGGGGCCGTGGGAGGTCAGGGAAGTTGCTGGTAAACTTGACCACAGCAGGGTGGGCACGACACCTGGAGTGCTGGAGCTTGAGGGGGGTGGGGCCGGGCCGGGCGGGGCTAGGACGGGGTGCTGCATCAGCTCTGAGGTTTGGGTTTTCTCTGTGACCTGGAGCTGGGAGGGAGAGGCTGTGCAGGGAAATTTGGGGACCGACTTTTTACAATGAAACGCCTTGAGAGACGGGTGAAGCCACACCGCAGACCCCTCAAATCCTTGCCGTGTTTCCTCTCACGGCCACAGCCGTGAGGCCAGCCTGTGTCACACGCAGGGGAGACGCAGGGGAGACGCAGGCTCTGTGCCCCCCGCTGCAGGGTCCCCTCCTGGGTCCCTGCGGACCGCTGGCCTGGGGGCTGACTCCGTGGGTTTGCCACTTCAGGAGTGTCGTGCAGACTCCCCCGCCCTGGCTGGGACTCCCCGGCCCTGGCTGGGACTCCCCCGGGCTACGCAGTGGTGGCTGAGGCATCTCGGGGGTGGGTGGGCCAGCCGGTGTCATGGACACTCCCTGTGGTCACTGAACACCTGGGTTCTTGCTGTCTGGGGCCGTTGGGAATGATGTCACTGTGCACATCCATGTGCAAACTTCTGTGCAAACTGTCACTGTGCACATCCGTGTACAAACATCTGTGCAAGAGCAGGTTTTCCTTCCTCTGGGTGAGTGCCCGGGAGCGGGACTTGCGGGCCCCATCGCAGCTGCCCGTTGGACTGTTCCGGAAACTGAGGCTGCTCCAGAGCGCCGTGCGCCTCCGCCCCTCCTCCGGCGGTGCTCGCGCAGTCCCGTGTCCCTCGGGGCGTCGCCGGTGCCACCTGAGCCGTCCCGACGCATGTGCTGTGTGTGTGGTGGCACGGCGCCCCGGTCCCGGCTCCCGACACACTCGTGGCGGAGGCTCCTCCCTCGCGTGTTCGCCGTCGGCGCCCCTCTGCCCGCGGCCCTGGGGCCGGCGCGTCTCCTGCAGCGTTCTCGTGTTCTCCAGGCGCTGCTGCTCTGGCCCCAAGGGGCCGTTTCGTTTCGGTTTTGCTCTGCCTGCCCCGGGGGCCTGCGTCGTCCAGCAGAAACGCGTGTTCAGAGTCTTCGCTCGTTCACACGCCGGGTTACGTGTCACTTTGCCGCTGACCTGCAAGACTTACTTAGACATCACGGGTCTGATCCGATACACGGTTTGCAGGCATTTTCACACCTGCGGGCTGGCTTTTCGCTCTCCTGATGCCGTCGCAGGAAGAACGGACGGTTTTTATTTTGACGAAGGACGACTTTTCCACTTTCGTTTTTACCGCTTGTCCAGGAACCCGTGACCGAACCCAGAGTCGCAAAGACTCTGCTGGAGTTCTCTCCGCAGAGTCCTGTTGCCTCCCCTCTCGCAGCACGGGCTGCGACCCACCGTGAGCGGGCTTCTGCACGTGGGGGGGGGGGGTCCGGCCCCCTGCTTTTGTGTGTGGGGACCCCCTCGTCCCGCACCGCTGGGTGAAGGGGCCACTCTTTCCCACTGACCTGAACTGACACCCTCGTTGAAAAGTCGTTGACCGAAAATGTAGGGCTTGTTTCTAGACCATCAGTCCCGTTCCAGTCGTCAGCAGAACCTTCTTGCCAGGGAGTTTTTAAATTGCGACTTTCCTTTCCTTAGCAACTACCGGACTGTGAAACGCGTCTGTCCCGTGTTGGACCGGTCCTGGTGGTCCGCGTGCCGAGAGCCGGATCTGCTCCAGCCGCGTCGTGGGGGGCCTGTGGGCTGGGCGGGGGCGGCTGCCCCTCCGTCCCGAGGGGAGGGCGCATTTCGGCCGTTTCTCTCTCTCGCTCTGTCAGAGGGGTGTCAGCGTAACTGATTGTCTTCAAAGGGCCAGCTTAAAAATTAATTTTCTGTACTATTTTTAACAAAGCTATTTATTAATAACGAAGTTCAACTTTAGTAACGTCCGCTCTCGTTTTCATTGTTTGCTTCCTTCCTGCTCTGGGCTGATGCTGCCCCTTTCCCGGCTCCGGGGGGTGGGGGGCGTGGGCTCAGGTGGCCATCCCGGGGCTCAGGTGGCCGTCCCGGGGCTCAGGTGGCCATTCCAGGGTTCAAGAGGCCCCCGTTGGCCCCCTGTGTGGGCAGCGCCGCGGACTTGCCTCTGGGCTCTGCTTTAGCTGCGCTCTTCAGACCTGACGTGCTTTCATTTCCGTCCAGCTCGGTCTGTTTGAAGACTCCCGGGGGGCGGGGGGCCGCGGTTCTGGCTCCCCACACGCCTGTAGGGCGCGTCCCCAGCTGCGGGGTTGGGCGAGGCTCCTCCCTCTCCCCGTGTGGGTGGGGGCCACCCCCTTAGTGCTGGGCAGGGGTGACGGCCCTGACCCCGACTAGGCCCTCCGACCCAGCTCGGGACGGTGTGTGTCTTCCTACCTCCACCCTGTGGGCGTGCGGCTCAGCGCCTCCCCACTGAGGGGGGATGGGGGAGAGGCCTCGGTGCCCGCTTGTCGGGGGAACGCCCCAACTCCTTGCTCGCTCCCCTCGGACACGGCCCTGGTTTGGGGGTGCGGGTGGCTTGGTGTCCTGGCCGCCGCCTGGGCCCGGAGGAAGTCCGGGCTCCCTGCCAGTCTGTGCCGTTCCCCGCTGTGTTTGGCCAGAGCAGCTTGGCCGCTACCGCCTCAGCTGCGGGCCTGGGGCCCACCCAGCGATGCGTGGGCGAGCGGCGGCCCGGCAAGCGCAGGGGGGCCCCGGGGGCCGGCCGGTCTGCTTCCCTCCCTTCCTCTCTGCCGCCTTTCCAGGGCGTCTCGCCTCCGCTGTCCACGTGGTGGCCAGGGCCTGCGTCCTCCTTGGTGGGGGAATAGGAAGAGGGGGTGCACCCGGTGTTCCCAGACCGGGAAGTCCCGTCGGCCTTGTTCCGAAGCGGAGAGCAGGGGGGCCTGGCTGCTGGTGGGGGCCAGGACGGAGGAGGGCGAGGAGGGTCCCTGGGGGGGGTGGCTTCTGAGGCTGAGGCAGCCACCGGGCTCAGCAGGGTGTGGTCCAGGGGCACCTGTTTGGGGGCCGGTGCCCAGGAATCAGCAGCCACACGTCCCCGTCAGTCCAGGGGCCCGGGGCCTTCAGGGCAGAGTCCGTAAGTCCCCCCAGATGCTGGAAGGTCGGGGTCCCCCAGGGCCGCCCCCCCTGCCTCTGTCCTGTCTGGGGCTTTGCCCGTGACTGGAGCTGCCTCTGGGGAGGGGACCGCAGGGCTCCCCGCCTGTTAGCCGGGTTGCCTGGGGCCCCACAGGCACAGACAGCAGCCAGAAATTAGCCAGATTCAGAGGAGCTGCCCCTTCCGTGGGCTGCGCTGCAAACCAAGGCCGGGGGCTGTGCCCGTCTGCGTTCAGCTGCCGGGACTACGCCTGCCTGTGGGCTCTGTCTCAGGCTGGGCACACGGCCAGAACGCTCTCCGGGAACTTGGAGTCTTGCTGTCGGTCCGGGGGACGGTGGCCGGTGGCCGGGCCCCCTGCCCCTGAGCCGTGGAGGCTGCTGCGAACGGAAGGTCAGACCTGGGCCTTGGGGCCTGTGGTCTCGCAGGCAGCAGCCCGGGAGGGAGAGGGCCATCCCGGCGAGGCCGGCAGGCAGCCCTGACAGCCCCCAAGGCAGCCTCTGCTCTCGGGGGCTGCTCCTCGGCTTTCCGGCATGCTGGGCAGTGGCCGGGGCGCTGAGGGCCTCTGGTGGCTTCCGAGGCTGAGGCAGCCGCCGGGCTCAGCAGGGTGTGGTCCGGGGGCCCCCGTTGGGGGGCCGGGATCCCCGGGCCCGGACTGAGCTCTGCGGGGAAGGGCAGGCGGGCAGGTCTGACCGCGGGCCCTGCCAGGCATCTGACAAGGGCCGGGGGCGCCTCCATGGCCAGGGCTGCGTGTCTCGTCCCCATCCTCCCTCGTCTCCTCTCGCTTCCAGACCAACGATGCCGCCGGCAACACCTGGAACTGGCTGTACTTCATTCCGCTCATCATCATCGGCTCCTTCTTCATGCTCAACCTGGTGCTGGGCGTGCTCTCGGGGTAAGAGGCCGTGAGGGCTGTGCTCCCGGCGTGGCGTCAGACGCGGCGTGTGTGACGGGAGGTGGGGCTGGGCCCTGGCCTGGCGACGTGTCCTGAGATCTAGCCGGCTTCTCTCTGTGCTGCCACCCTCCCCCGCCCGCCCCACCCCGTCCCTGGCCTCCGCGCTGGCCTCCGACTGGGTCCATGGTGGGTTTGGGGCAGCGGTGGGGGCCAGGGGACGGACGGAGTGTCGTCTCTCTGCTGAGCCCCAGGAGAGGACGGGGGGTGGGGGGGCGCGAGGCGGGGAGCTCTCCGAGGGAAAGGTGCGTCCTGACCCCACACTGAGAGGGAGCGGGAACGCACAGCACCCTCCGGCCTGCGTGGGCTCCTGCTCAGGCCAGGGCGCCTGCAGTGGGCTGGGAGGGAAGCCTGGAGGCCCGAGGGGCAGCGGGCGTCCTGGCCTGGAGAGGAGCAGCCGTGGAGAGGACAGTGGGGGGGGCCGGGCTCTGTGCTCTGGCTCTGGCGTGTGTCACTGGCCACGGTCCCGTCCTGAGAGGGGGATGGTCGCCAGCGTGTCTCTGAAAGCCCAGGCCTGGGGACTGGCATGCCCAGAGCACTGGGGACAGGTAGAGATCTCTGGGAAAGTGCAGGGTCCGAGACAGGAGGCCTGGGCTCAGAGAAGGCACCTGCGGGGGAGCCGTCTCCACCGAGACCCCAGGGGACCAGGGATGAGCTTGGCAGAGGAGGGGGGGCCCCAGGCGGAGGGGGGCCAGGGTGTTGCATGTGCTCAGCCGGGCATGCGTGTGGTGGGTGGGGAGAGGACTGGGCGGGCCGGCAGCCTGGCCGTGAGGGGCGTGGTCTCCGGTCGGGGACGCGGTGGGGAGGGGGTGGCCGCAGCTTTGAGCTGGGCCCCCTGGAGAAGGTGCAGGAGGGACCGGGGCGGGCGGAGCCTGGGGGCTGGTCCTGGTCGCCGCCCCGCACTGAGCGGCACCACCACGCGTGGGAACACTCTGCGCCTGCCCGGCGCTCCAGCCCCTGCTGGCGTCCTGGCCCCGGGAGGGTTTCGCCGATCGTCTCAGCAGGGCCCCCGGCAGATGTCCAGGTCCAGCCCGGGGACCCCGAGATTGTCGTCCAGCACAGCGATAGGGGCCCCTGAAGCCAGGGGCCAGTGCACGGCGTGGGGTCCCCCCAGGCACACTCCCTGGCACCTGCCCCGCAGCAGCACCTCTGCCCTGCCTGGGGGGGGGACGAAGACTCGGCCTGCTCCTCCTCCCACTCGGCTTTCGCCCCCCAGAGAACCGCAGGCTGCGGAGGCAGGGCCTGCTGGTGGCTCTCAGGCAGCCCTGCCCTTGCCCTCGGGCCCTCCTAACCTTGGGGATCCCGTGGCTGCCGCTCAGGCCCTGGGGGACCCTGGCCCGGGTTAGGGGTCAGCCTTGGTCAGAGCCACGCTCTCCTTGAGTGCCAGGAGGCTGGCCCACGCCCCAGCTCTGAGCCCAGAGCTGCTCTTCCTGGAAGAGACACAGCCTCGTGGCTGAGAGCAGGCGGCTGTGCTGTGGGGTGTGTGTGCCCGCCCCTAGGGGACCCGGGTCCTCCCCTGGCCTGCACGGGGAAAGCTGGGCCACGCGGGACATGAGTGTGTGTGTGTGTGTGTGTGTGTGTGTGTACACAGAGGCCTCCCCCGGCACGGTGAGCCTGAGGGCTGGGGCAGCCGGGACGTTGGAGGCCCCCTGTGAGCTCCGGGCTCCAGGGGAGGCTGGTGGGCTCGAGCAGGTCCCCTCTGGTTGCGCCCTGCCCCAGCCCAGACCCTCTCCCCCGCTCCCACCTGCCCGTCCTCCCCAGCGGAGGACCCAGCGGGTGCTCCCCTCCGGGGCTTCTCACCAGCAGGGCACAGGGCCAGGCCTGCTCCAGGCAGGGGGGCGTGGACCACTTCCTGCCCCCTGGGCCCCTCTGCCAGTGCTGTCCCTGCGTGCGGGGTGGGAGGGTGTCTGAGCAGGAGGGGCTGGCTGTGCTGCCCGCAGCTCAGCTAAGAGGCCGGGGTGGGGGTCACCAAGAGGGGCTGCCCATGGCCCCTTCCTTCTGGCGTACACCCGTGGGCGTACCGCTCCCCTGACCCGTGTCCCGCTCCCCTGACCCGCGCTCTTGCGGCCCCTGCCCCGCAGCGAGTTTGCCAAGGAGCGTGAGCGGGTGGAGAACCGCCGGGCCTTCCTGAAGCTGCGGCGGCAGCAGCAGATCGAGCGGGAGCTGAACGGGTACCTGGAGTGGATCTTCAAGGCCGGTGAGAGCCGGGCAGCCGCTGTGCCCCTGGCCCGTCCTGCCGGGCCCCGTCTCTTGGCTGCCAGCCGGGCCCCCGGCCCCGGGGGACGAGACTAGCCTAGTGAGGATGGCCGAGCTTTCTGAAGGGGCTTTGCGGGGAGGAGGCGTTCCTTCCAGCTCACCCAGGTGTGACACCTGGTGGCTCACGTCTCCGGGGACACTGGTCTTGGTCACAGAAGACGGGGCCCAGCCCAGCCTGCCCCTCGTTTCTGCCCGTCACACTCAAGTGCCCTGCCCTTGACCTGAGCCCACCCCCCCACGCCCCGGCTCTGTGCCCCACTTTACCTGTGGTTCCTGACCCCCTTGCCCAGCCCAGGCCGGCGTCCCTGCCTCTGGGTGGGGCACCCGCAGTGTCTCATGGGATGGCTGTGCTCAGGGGGGTGGCTTACGCACGGCCCTGGGGGACATGTAGAGGGGGCTTTTCCTGGTAGAAAGGCTGAGCCGTGGGCCCCACAAGTTTCTGAGAGGGCTGGGCCTCGTCGTTCTCGGGGCTGGGGGGGGGGACCGGGAGGCTCCGACTGAGGTTGTGTCTCGCCCCCAGAGGAGGTCATGCTGGCCGAGGAGGACAAGAACGCGGAGGAGAAGTCCCCTCTGGATGGTAGGTCCCGGGTGGTGCTTGCTCCCCAGGAAGAGAGCTTGGCGCCCATGGGCAGCGCCACCGTGCACGCATGCGTATTGGTGCGTGACACTGTCCGCCAGGCCACACGCCTGCCCGTCCGGCACACACGCCCTCAGGCCTGGCAGGGCCCTGCCTGGAGGGAGGGAAACCCTGTGACTCTTGGCTGTGTGTTCCCGGCGAGCTGTGGGCCGTGGACCAGCGTGGCCGCGGCTGGCAGTGGGCTCGCACAGCACGGCCACACTGGCCGTGGTCTCAGCTTGTGCTGCCTGGTGTGGCATCTTACCTGTGACTCAGTGAGCGGACACGCAGGGGCCCCACAGTGACACGGAGAACGCTGCCCCTCGCCTCGCTCAGCACAGTTCAGGCGCCCGATAGCCAGGCGGCCCTGCTGCTGCCGGCTGTCCTGGTCAGCGGGTACCAGAGCGTCCCTTCCCGTTGTCACAGCACGTCTGGGGGGCGCTGCTTCCCGAGGCTCTCACTGGCAGGGTTACGCCAGCCGGCCTTGTCCCGGGGCTTGGAGTGGTGCCGCCCTGGTGGCCACGGAGACACACGTAGCACAGCGGGGAGCCACAGGGGCAGGGCGGCTGCCGTCTCCACCCCCTGCTCAGGTCGGCCCAGGCCCCTGCCCCGTGCTGTCGGCTGGGCCCCACCCAGGGCGGTGAGCAGGTCTGCAGACCTTTCTGGCCCCACCTGGCCTGGCTGCAGCCGGTGTTTCCCGGCACGCTGGCAGCAGGCCCTCCCCGCCGACGGTGCTGTGGAGAGCAGGGACCAGGGGGCCCACCCTCCGAGCTCCTGTCCCTTCGCCCTGAGGACCCAGAAGGGCCCACGGGGCGGGAACCGTCCCCTGTCCCTCGCCTCAGCCTTCGGGCAGGAGACGAAAGGCCCCGCTCCCGGGAGGATGAGGGGTCCTCAGCCGAAAGACACCCCCCCTCCCCGCGCCGGGCGGGCAGCCTGGGCTCCGGCTCCGGCTCAGGGCCCCCCCGCCCTTCGTCTAAAGCAGTGTTGAAGCGGGCGGCCGCCAAGAAGAGCCGGAACGACCTGATCCACGCCGAGGAGGGCCAGGACCGCCTTCCGGACCTCTGCGCTGCGGGTGAGCCCCTGGCGCCTCCAGCCCGCGGCCGCCCGGGCTCTGTGCACCCAGCTCCCTGCCTGTCGCCCAGGCCGCCCAGCTCCCCAGGGCCCCGTCCCTCCCTCCCCCCTGCCCACCCTTCGAGGCCAGGTCGCCCCGGGCCTGCTGTGCCACGGGAAGCCCAGCATTCTCTGGCGGGGGCCCCAGCCGAGGGGTGCGCACAGCTGGCCTCGGCTGGCTCGCTGCAGCGTGGCCCACCGGCCGCTCTGGGCTCTGCTGTGCCCCTGGACGGGGAGCCGTCCGTCTCAGCCCACGGCTGGGGCCGCACGTGCCGCTAACTCTGCAGGGACCAGACGTTCCTGCTGTCTGTCTCCCATGTCCCAGGTGACCCCTCGGGCTGCTGGCCTGGGGTGGACACGCAGGGAGTGTCCGAGGCAGCCGGCCTCCCCAGGCCACGGGGAGGGCCCAGGCCGGCCTCGGAGCACAGGGGTGGCCTTCTCGGAAGGTGGCCGGGGTGCGGGGACCCACCCTCCCGTCCAGAGCTCAGCAGCCATGGAGCCCCCGGCCCTCCTCTGCAATGGGGGCAGGGCTAGGGCCCACCGCAGGGTGCAGTGGCACCTGTCCCTACTGGGGTGGGGGGGGCAAGGGGCGCATTCGGCAGCGGGGAGCGGGTCCTGGGCCGCGGGCCCCGTGGTCCTCAGCAAGCCCCGCCCTCCGCAGGGTCCCCCTTCGCCCGAGCCAGCCTCAAGAGCGGGAAGACCGAGGGCTCGTCCTACTTCCGCAGGAAGGAGAAGATGTTCCGGTTCTTCGTGCGGCGCATGGTCAAGGCCCAGAGCTTCTACTGGGTGGTGCTGTGCGTGGTGGCCCTGAACACGCTGTGCGTGGCCATGGTGCACTACAACCAGCCCCAGCGGCTCACCACGGCGCTGTGTACGTAGCCAGGCCCGGCCTCGCCGCCCCTGCCTCCTCCCCAGCCTCCTCTGGTCCACAGCCCGGGGCTCCTGGGCTGTGGCCTTTGGTCTGGCAATGCCCCGGGCAGGGTCTCTGCACTGACAAAGGGGCCCCCATCCCAGGCGGCCCAGGTCCTGCGGAGCTGGGCCCGTGTTCTGGGAGCCCAGCTAGACCCCCAGCCGCTGGGGAGTGAGAGGCCAGGAGGGCCCGGGCCCCCTGGGGAGGCAGCTCAGGGACGACCGGGCGGCAGCCAGCCAGGCTGGCAGACCCGGCCCTCCCCTGTGAGGGCTTCAGAGCCCCGGCCAGGGGGGCGCAGGGCTGCTCGTCCCCTCCTGCTGCGAGGCGGCCCCTCCCGCCGCGCCCGAGGAGCAAGCCTAACCTGGCTGTGCCCACGTTCCTTCTGGCCGGCCGGGCCTGGTGTGTCCGTGAGCAAGGCCCACTGGCTGGTGTCCATCTGCCGCAGTGTGTCACAGCTTGTCTCGGCCCTGGCGCCCGTCCAAGGCAGCAAAGCAAAGAGGGAGCTGGCCGGGGGGCGGGGCTCCTTGCCCTCCTCCAGGGACCGAGGCGGACCGTTCCCACCCGAGGGCTCTGCAGGTCCTGCCACCGCCCTGCTCCCCGGGCTCTGCTGCACCTGCCTGGCCCTGGTGGCTGCGGCTGCTCCCGCGGCGGGGCTGGCCTGGGGCTCTCCCGGGGGCCTTGCTCTCTGCGGAGCCCTGTGTGCCCACAGCCCCCAAGGTGCCCAGGAGAGCCTTCGGTGCAGAGAAGAACCCTCCCGGCTGCCAGTCCTGGTGCCCGCAGGCCGGCTGCATGCCCCTCTGTGGGACCATGGGGGCCCCAAAGGGCTCGTGTGCACTGGACGGCCCCGCGGGCCACCTGGCCGTGTGGGGGGTGGGGTTCGAGGCCAGACCCCCACATTTGTGTTGAAATGTGCCGGGAAGGGAAGAGGCAGCAGGCGCAGGAGGGGCCCAGGGAGCCCCCCCGCAGACACAAGGTGCAGGCTCCCAGCAGGTGCGGGCGGGCTAGGGAGCCCTGGGCGTGCCTGGCAGGCCGCTCCAGAGAGTGAGGGCACCCCTGGGGTGAGGGCGTGACCGCCACTTCTTGGCCTCGGGCGGGAGGCTGGGCACCCGGCAGGAGAGCTTGTGAGGCGGATGCCGGCAGGAACGGCCCCCCTCTCACCATCCCAGCTTCCGGGCCTCCTGCCGGGTCCCTGCAGACCGCCCTCCCAGGCTCCGGGGCAACAGGACGAGCACCTGGGCAGCTCCGGTGTCTGGGCCCCTGGAGGTGGCTGGAAGTCCCGTGTCAGTGGCCTGTCTGCCTAGGACCTGGGCTCCTTTGCGGGGGCAGGCGCCTGCACCTCTCTGACTTCATGGCGGTGGCTGCAGGGCTCAGTGCCCAGGAGCCTCAGGTCTCTCCGGGCTGCTGGGCCTTGTGAGCTGCACTCGGGGCCGGCCGTGCTCAGCCTTCCCAGCCCCCACCCCCGCACCTGCTGCCGGGCACCAGGGAGCGTCGGGCCTTGGTGGCGGCCTTTCCTGCGCTGAGCCTGAGCTGCTCCTGCCTGAGGGTCCACGGGCATCCGTGCCTCTGACACCGGCCTCTCGGCTTCTGCAGGGGGGCTGCTTGGCCAGTGTGCCCAGCATGGGAGCCCCGGGGGGGGACACTGCCGGCTTCGGAGGCCAGGCTTGCTCCCGGGCTGATGGTCTGTGCCTCAGGCCTTGGAGGGGGGCCCTGCCCGGACCACCTGGCCCTGTGTCTGTCGGTGGGCAGTGCAGCTGCTGCCTCTGCCTGTCTGGGGTCCGGGCTGCTGCAGGCGTGCCCCTGACGGGTGCTGCGGGGTTCTCAGCATGGTGCTGCATGAAGGGCTGGGGAGCATGCTGGTTTTGGGGTGCACAGTGATGGCAGGAAGTGCGGGACCCCTCACCCATCCTCCGTCTTGCCGGGAGCTGCTGGAGGTCCAGAGGCCCTGGGGAGCCTGGGCTGGTGACCACCCCGAGCTGGCCCCTCGTACCCCCTCTCGGCCTTGGTGCCCTGCGCCGGGCCCCACTGCAGGCTCTGAGCCGGGTTGGAGGTCACATTGCCCCTGGCCAGCTGCGTGAGACGGTGGGCGGATTCCCGCTCCGCACCCGAGCACTGGAGTAACAGGCGGTGACCTCGAGCTGGCATCTGGGGCCCCTGGTGGGGCTGGTGGCCAAGCTGGCCGCATTTCCTGCTGTCCGCGGCCTCGTTCTTTTGGCTCTGACCCTCCTTCCGCTCAGGCCGGGTCAGGGGCCACGCCTGTGCCTTAGACCCTGGCCAGCTCTCAGCTGCCCCCGTCGGTCCCCATGCAGCAGCCACAGGCGCTTCTGTGTGTGGCTCAGAGCAAGTGCCAGACTGGCCGGAGCCGGGGTGCAGAGGCTGCAGAGACGCTTGCTGGTCGGCGGGGGCGAACTGTGAACAGAGTTAAAGCCCAGCTGGGTGCTGTGAGGTCCTGAGGTGGTGCCTGGGGAGGTCCCGAGAGACCAGGAGCCTCTGGAGAGGGGACTCCGCCAGCTGTCAGAGCGTGGGGCAGGGAAGGGGCTGGGCAGGCAGCCATCTGCCTGGGGTGCCCAGAGGACCCCGTGCCCCAGAACTCACTGCCGAGCCCAGTCCCTGTGTCCTGCAGCACCAGGCACTCACCACCTTGCAAACTGCAGTGAGCACCTGTCTGCATCCCCCCCGGCCCCTTGAACCTTCCTGTCCCGGCTGAGGTTGCAGAGCTCAGGGGCTGCAGACCAGCTCCACCCTGCGAGGCCCAGGGCCTGGCACCCGCAGTCCGGGCTGGAGCAGGTGGGAGGAGGCCGAGAGCTAACCCCCCTCTTCTCCGGCTTCTCTTAGACTTTGCAGAGTTTGTTTTCCTGGGTCTCTTCCTCACAGAGATGTCCCTGAAGATGTATGGCCTGGGGCCCAGGAGCTACTTCCGGTCTTCCTTCAACTGCTTCGACTTTGGGGTGAGTGGGACGCCTTAGCAGGGGTCTGTGCGGGGGTCCCAGGTGGGTCTGGCTGGACCCTTGCTGGAGAGCTTCCTCCACCCTCCGTGGTCAGCAGGGCTGCCTGTGGTCGGCAGCCCGCAGAGGGAGGCCCGCCCTGGCCAGGCCCCAGCGGGTGGGGTGCCTTCTGCAGGCTCCACCCCCCGCCCTGTGTGAAGAGGCCCTGGCCCCTCTGGGCCTGGGACCGCGACCTTCTCCGTGCGCTGCTGCCCTGCAGAGGACGCGGCCTCTCTCCAGCGGAGGTCAGGGGCTGTGGTCCTGCAACCCCCGCCCCCCATCCTGGCCAGGGACAGATGGGCACACCAGAGCTGCCCGGGGAGGACAGGCCACTCCGGTGGCCTGCCCTCTCTGTGGAGTAGGGTGGCCGGGCCCCGGGCCCTTCACTGCCCTCTGTGGTCAGGGCAGCCTCGAAGGGAGACCCATGTCCGAGGTGTGCGCGAGCCCCAAGCCGGGGCTGCTGGCACCCGCCCAGCGAGAGGCCGAGTTCTGACCGCTGGAGGTGCTGAGCGAGAAGGACAGACAGGCGTCCCCGCAGAGTTCTCTGCAGCCCGGGTGGGCCTGGGGCCGGCAGGGACCGCGCACCTCGCCCACACGTCAGTGAGCTGCCCCGGACGTTCTTGTGTGGCTGAGTTGCCGGCGATGACGCCTCCTGGGCCCAGGGCCGCGCGGCCAGAGTGCAGGGGAGCTGGGGCGGGGCCCAGGCCTCCCGGCCCCCGGGCAGGTGTCCCCGTCGCCCAGGAGGCGCCCCCGCCACAGTGCACACAGGCGCCCTTCCTCCCCCTGCCCGCACCCGACCCTGTTGTCTGTGGATTCGCCGGTGGTGGCCGTCGTGGCCGGTGTGCGTGGCGTCTCGCTGCGGTTTCGGTTTGTGCCTTCGGGTTGGTGACGTTGAGCGTCTTTTCGTGTGTCTGTGGCCGTCTGTGGGTCCTCTCCGGAGAAGTGTCTATTCAGGTCGGTTCGCTGCCCGTCTTTATTTTTATACTTTAAAAGTATATTTTATCTTTTTAAAAGACTCTATGTATTTATTTTTAGAGGGGAAGGGATGGAAACACAGAGGGAGAAAGAGAGGGAGAGAAACATCAGTGTGTGGTTGCCTCTTGTGCGCCCCCCACGGGGGACCTGGCCTGCCGCCCAGGTGTGTGCCCTGACTGGGAATCGAACCAGCGACCCTTTGCTTTGTAGGCCAGCGCTCAGTCCACAGAGCCATCCATACCAGCCAGGGCTTCTCTGCTCATTTTAAACATTAGATTGTTTATTTTTTCGGTGTGGAGCTGTATGAGTTCTTTGTAAGTTTTGCATGTTAACTCCTTACAGGATGTATCACTGGCAAATCTCTTCTCCGGTTCAGTGGTGCTACTTGTTTCTTTTCTTCTGTTTCCCTCGCCCTCAGAGATGCGTCAGGAGAAAGATATTCCTAAGGTTAAAGTCAGCGTTTACTGTCTGTTTTCTTCCCGGAGTTTTGTGGTTTCCAGTCTGAGGTTTAAGTCTCCAGCCCGTTCTGAGTTCGTTCTTCCGTGCCGTGGGGGATGGCCGTCTGGTTTCTTTGGCCTCGGTCCAGGTTCCCAGCACCGTCCGTGGAAGCGACGGTCCCTCCCCCGCCACGCCCTTGCCGCCTCTGCGGGCTATTCCCCGACCGGCGAGGCTAGGGGCTAACGGAGGGCAGACCGTGCCGTCCCCTCCGTTTGGCGCTCGTGGTCTTCGCTGCCGGGAGAAGCCGAGTGTTCCCGAGCCAGCGAGTCCCAGCTTCCTTGTGCGTGACAGCCCTCCCCTCGTCAGTGCCCTCTCGCACGCGACCTGGGCGGCCCCGTCCGCCCGGCCTGGCAGTCTCCTCGCTCGTCCGCACCTGCTGGGTCTGGCACAGGCTGCCGGCTCCTGAGGGGCTGTCCTAGCTGCCGGCACCGAGGGGCCCTTCCCCTGGCCACCCCCAGCCCCGGGGCCCCTCCTCGGTGTCGGGTTTGACGCGGCCAGGCTGGGCATTTTCGGATTCACGGACAGGCTGCTCGTCGCCCTTCTCTGCTTCCAAAACCTCACCCGCGTTTCAGGTCTTTGTGCCAGCAGCGCCTCATCCTCTGCCGCCGGAATCCACGTTGCTCTTCTTGCGGTGCAACTCGCGGCCCCAGAGCCTAGTGGCTTAAAAGAATAAACATTATCTGTCATTCTGGTGGGTCGGGCCCCGGGGTGTGACTTCAGTGGGGTCCGGGCCCAGCACCTCTCGTGGGTTCCACTGGGGTCGGGAGCTCCCTTCCGAGCATGTGCCTCAGGGGACCAGCCCCCCAGTCGCTGGCAGCCTGGGCTCCTGGTCCCACGGGCGTCCCTGTGGGCTGCAGCTGGTGACCCCAGGGAAACCGCGGTCATTGTGTGCATCTCACCTCAGAGGTGACATCCCGTCACCCTGTCACGTTCTGTTTGCTGGAGAGAGTCCCTGGGTCCAGCCCATCCCCAGGAGATGAGGGTACACCCAGGGGTGAGCGCCAAGCAAGCCGCTGGTGCAGGTGGGCTTGTGGCAGCCCGCCCCTCCGCTGTGCTGTCCTGGTCACAGCAGGCACCGAACGGTCAGCGCGCCGGGACGTGGGCACACACCTGACGCACCCTGAAAGACACCTTAGTGTTCGGGGTTCACAGCTGTGCAGTCGGGGAGACGCGGGGCTGGTGTGACCCCTAGACCTGACGAGCAGGTTTGTGGGCCGCTGGCGGCCGCAGGCAGGTCGCCGTGGTGTGCCAGCCCCTGCCTGGACGCCCGCCTTTCTCGGGCGCAGCGGTGGGAACATTGCTGGAAGCCGGAAGCCGGCCGGCCGGAGGAGGACGTGAGACGGTGGAAACGACTGAGCCCTTGGGCGAAGCCCAGGCCAAGTTTGGGCACGAGGGGTGTGAGGGGCCGAGGCTGGATGTCCGGGCTCTGCACACCAGCCGCAGAAGCTGCGTTTGAGCACAAGGAGCGTGCAGGCCCGGCGGCCAGCGAGGCGTCCGGTGCAGGGCGAGCTGGCGAGGGGCCTGCCGTGCCCCGGGCCCAGCGCACGGCCTCTGGGGGCCCCTCACCCCAGACACCGGCCAGGACGGCCCCCGGTGGAGCCTGGGAGGACAGTGGGGACCCGGGCCGCAGGCCCAGCGTGGACGGGGCGGACACCCGAGGGCAGGCGGGCCACAGGAGTTCCCGGTGCCGCCCGCTGGCCTCTGGGCACCAGGAGATGACAGCTCAGGAGTGGGCAGGGCAGCAGGGCTGCGCCCGGCAGAGGCCAGCTGTCTGAGGCGGGCGGCCCAGCCCCACAGTGTCAGGGAGACGCGAGGCCCCGGCTGTCACTCTGCCCCGCGTCCTCCGGGCGGCGTGACGGGTGGGCTGGGGGGGCACAGGCACTGGGCCTGTGGGCCCTGCGGCTCCCAGGGGGCGGGTGCTGGAGCCGCGGGCGAGGCAGGCATGGCCGGCGCTGCCGCACACACCTGGGGCCGCGTGGCCCGGAGGCTGACCCTGCCTCCCCCCCCCCCCCCCCCCCGCTGCAGGTCATTGTGGGGAGCATCTTCGAAGTGGTCTGGGCCGCCGTCAAGCCCGGGACCTCCTTTGGGATCAGCGTGCTGCGGGCCCTGCGGCTGCTGAGGATCTTCAAGGTCACCAAGTAGGTCCCCGTGGGCTCCTGGGCACGGGGAGGGGGGGCGTCCCCTTGGGGTCCTTGGGGGGCCGTGGGGGAGGTCGGCCCCACCGCACGCTCGCGTCTGGGAATGCGCCTGCCGCCGGTTCGATCTGAGGACCGCTTCCCGCGGCTTGCGGCCCCGGGAACACACGGACACAGACCCGCAAACACAGAGGCGGCGAAGCGGCCCGGCTCTGCTCCTGGTCGGCCTCGCGGGGGCACGTCCACGGTCGCCCCCCCCCCCCACACCGACCGACGGGCCCCAGTGCTGCCAGGGGTCTCTGCCCGCATGAGCTCGCCCCCGGTGGCTGGTCGCTCCTCCGGAGCCCTGGGGGCGGGCACGTCGGAGAGGCAGGGGGGTGTGCGGTGACGGGAGGAATCGAGACTGGGGAGGTGAGCACGCAGAGCGGCAGAGCGACAGACGGGACGTGTTCTCGGACCGTGCGCCCCGAGCCCGAGTTGTCTCATTCGCCGAAGTCACCCAATAACCGCAGCAGAAAAGGAGACTTCGGTCGTCCCTGCTGTCGCGAGCTCTCTCTCGAGGGTGGGGGCCCCATTTGCAGTTCTCACGGGGGGCTGCTTCCCAGCGAGTGGAGAACAGGGGTGTTGGTCGCTGTCCCGCCCTGCTGCCCGAGCCGGCCTGGCCCCTGGCCCCAGTGTGGCCCCCCTTGGGTGTCTGTGTCACTCTGGAAGCGGGTCGTCCCGTGTGGCCCGAGAGGGGGCAGAGGTGGTGTGGAGAGTGGGGACGGCAGGGCGGGGGCAGGACCGGGAAATGCCTCTCCCAGCCACACGGTCTGCGGTCCTCGGCCCAGACGGCAGGGCCCCGCTGGCCCGAGCGTCCGAGGCTCCATGCCCGTGAGCAGCTGGGTGCGAAGCCCGCGATGTGCCATCGTGCCTGCAGGGTCCTGGCACCCCCGGAGCGCTCGGCCTGTCGCCCTGGGGCCTGGGCTGATGCCGTTTCCCGGGGGCAGCAGTTGGCAGGGACTGGTCACTGAGGGGTCAGCAGCATGACTGTCGGTGGACCCTGGGGGGCCTGTGTGCTCGGGGGCCAGAACATCAGGAGGGACTGGGGGTCTGGCCTCCAGGAGCACTTGGGGGGCACTTGGGGGGGCTGCTGGGGACCCCAGGGAGAGCCCGAGAGGGGAACAGGCTGGGCTGGCAGCCCACTCCCACTGCCCCCCTGGCCGGGGGTCACTGCAGAGGCGGCCGTGTGCGCGGCCCTCATGGGGGCCCCTCCCTGTGGGCCGACGCAGCGCCCCCACTCACGCGGCCCCGGCTGCCCCGGCAGGTACTGGAACTCACTACGCAACCTGGTGGTGTCGCTGCTCAACTCCATGAAGTCCATCGTCAGCCTCCTGTTCCTGCTCTTCCTGTTCATCGTGGTCTTCGCCCTGCTGGGCATGCAGCTGTTCGGGGGGCAGTACGTGGCCCACGGGGGCGGGGCGGCCGGCTCGGGGCAGCTGGCTCAGGGCAGCGTCCCCCTGAGGCCTCCGCACGGAGCTCGGCCTGCATGCGGCCTGTGGCCAGAGCTGGCGCCGGGGGGCCGGGTGCTCCCGGCTCCTGGTGGGGCTGCCTTTTCCTGAGACTTGTGTTTTCCTCAGGTTCAACTTTCAAGACGAGACGCCAACGACCAACTTTGACACCTTCCCCGCTGCCATCCTCACTGTCTTCCAGGTAAGGCCCCGTCCTGCTCCTCCTGAGCGTCCCCGCGCCACCTAGACTAGACGGCCCATGTCCGAGACACGCGGGACAGCAGGTGGGGGCCAGCTCACAGGCCCCCCCGTCCTGTGACGCCGTCCCCCCGGGCTCCACTGTCCGGCAGCCCCTGGCGTCCAGCCACAGCTGCCCTCTGAGCCCCGAGGCCCCGGGATCGGAACCGCCCTTCCTCCTGTGAGGATAAAGCAGCAAAGCACCCCGACACCCTCAGTCCACTCACACCTACAAGCACCCCCTGTGTCTCCGTGAGCCTCTGGCAGGGCTCCCGCCGGGACACGCCGCCCTCTCGGGGCTCAGGCTGTGCGCGGGCCGCCGTGCCGGCCATCCTGCCCCTTGCGATGCCCGGGGCGGCGGCCTGAGCAGAGTGGGGCGGGGGTTGGTCTCTGCCTGAGCCGGGTCTCAGGGGAGGCCCGCCGCCGTCTGTGCGCGCGGGCCGGGCTCAGCTCCTCGGCACGGGCTCCTTTTTCTGATGAAAACATTTTCGGATGAAAACGTTCTGAAGTGGACTGTGCTGGTGGGCGCACACACCTGCGAACACACCAGCAAAGCCTTTGGATTCGACACTCGAAACGACTGAGTTACGTGCACGTGACTCCGAGCCCGACGAGGCAGCTGTTTGCAAAGACCACGGCCGCTTCGCAGGGACGGCTGCGTGACGGCTGCGTGACGGCTGCGGGTGTCGGCGGGTGCCCGCACCCCACGTGTTCCGTGGGCCTGTGTGTGGGTGGGACTAGCCCGAGAGTCAGGAGACCCAGGAGCGCAGACAGGCCGAAGCCTTCCGGCGGGGCCTCTGGCTTCCTGTCTCCAAGCGCAGCCTGGGACCGGTGCCGGCCCCCTCCTGCGGACCGTGCGCCTCGGGACCCCCCGGCCGGTTCCTCGTGTGTGTCTCCTCCTGGTTCTGTCTCTCTGGAGGACTCAAATTATAGTTCCAGTAAAAATAAGGGTGCCCAGGATCCAGGCTGTTGCAGGCAACGCAGTGGGGAAAAGAAAGGCAGGAGGTTTGGAAGGGAGCAGGCACCAGCGCCGTCTGCAGATGATGTGATTATTCCCTTGGAAACAGGAAAAGATCAACCAGAAACGAGAGAATTCACCCGTGTTGCCGAGTGCACTGTCAGCATACAGACACATAGCTTTCGTGTGTAACGGCGTCATTCACTTAGAAAATTCAGCCCAAATGGGAGAGCCCCTTCACAGCAGCAACAAAGCTGTCGGCACCAGGAAACAGCGCTACGAGGACTAGGCGAGACTCCCGCGGGCGAGCTCTCGCGCTGCGGGCGAGCTCTCGCGCTGGGGGCGAAGGGCCTGGAGGCCCGGGCCCGGGGGGGGGCGTTTTCACAGACGGGAGCCTCCCACGGTGGCGGCGGCAGCCGTCCCTGCCTGAATCGGCGGCTTCACCGCACTGCTGTCCCAAGTGCCCCGGGACAGCGCTGGGAGCCCGCCTCTCCGTCTTGTGGAAGGCCAGTGTCTGGGGCAGCCGGGGGCTCAGGAGGGGCCGCCCACCCAGCAGGACTTTGTGAGAAGCCATCGTGCCACCGCGGCGAGGGCTGGGAGGGCAACGAGGAGGGATGTCCGAGGAGCGCAGCCCAGTGGCCGGGAGAGCCCCGGTCGGCGCGGGCAGTCGGCGTCCGCAGCGAGGGCGCACTCCGGGGGCGGGTGCAGGAGAGTGGGTGCACGGGGCGGGGCCCGCAGACCCGCCTGTCGGAGCCCTCCGTGTGAGACACCAAACGTGAAATGACGGAGAAAACGAAAAGATCTTTATGAACTCGGGACGGGGAAGAATTTCTTAAGGTGCGGAAAGCAGAAACTCTAAAAGATACTTTCAACTATATTAAACTTTTTTCTATTATAAAAATAAGTTAGTAGTGAAGGGAAACCCAGAAGATGTTTCTGAGAAGCACCCCCGAGAGAGGACCGGCGGACACCAGGACACACGAGGAACTCCCACGGTCGGGCAGAAGCAGAAGGCCGTGGCCCGGCCCCGGGGGGTACTGGGTGGCCGGGGACGCAGGAGGTGGCCTGTCCCCTCCCCTCCGAGACGGGGCCGCCACAGGGTGTGACGGAGCTGGGGGGTGAGGAGGCGGAGCAGGGCCCGGGACACCCGCTCTGGACGCACCTGGGAGTCTCGGAGGCACAGGTGGCCTGGCGGACGTCGCCCAGGTGCCGCCGGCAGGGAAGCGGGTGCGGAAGCGCTGGGCCGGGCTTGTCCCCGTGAGTCCGCCGTGTGCCGGCCTGGTGGACGTGGGACGCTGGGCAGAAGCGGCGTGGGCCGTGGAAGGAGCGGGCCGGCGCGTCCTGTTTGCTGTTGGGCGGAGCCAAACTCCGGACACGGGTCTTTGCCAGATGCACAGGGGGGACCTGACGCACACACCGCAGGGTGCACAGGTGTCCCCCCCACAGGGGACACAGGACGGCCTCGGTTCACCCCCACGCTTCCCCGAGACGCGAGTGGAAGGGGCGTGCTTCCTCGTGGGGCGGGGGCTGCACCAGCCACCCTCGCGGCCTCAGCCCGCTGCTGGCCCAGGGGCGGCGGGAAGGGGGTCAGAGGCCCGCAGCACCTGCCCGGCCACGCGGCCGCCCCCGGGAGCCTCAGCGTCCTCACCTGGGAGGCCCTGGCCTCACGGCCCAGCGCACGGCCGTGGCCCTGCCCTGCCACTGCCCTCCCTCCTGCGTGGAGCTCCCGCCCGTTTGGGTGGAGACCGCTTGCGTGCTCATTTCTGAGAGCTGAGCCAGCGGCAGCCACGTCTGGAGGTTTTTGTGGAGGGACCCCGGCCCCTTGCCCTCCAGGTGCACCGTCACCCAAAACCCTGCGTGCGCACGTGTCTGTGCGTGTCTGTGCGTGTCCGCGTGTGTGCCTGTGCGTGTGGGGGCAGCGGTGTGCCTACATGCAGGGCGCCCTCGGGGGCAAGCGTGTGTGCGTGCTGATGGCGTGTGCGTGCTGATGGCGTGTGCGTGCGCGCGGACCGTGCCGAGTGTGCAGCGGGTGCGGGTGTCGCCCCCGCAGATCCTGACCGGGGAGGACTGGAACGCGGTCATGTACCACGGCATCGAGTCGCAGGGTGGAGTCAGCAAGGGCATGTTCTCGTCCTTCTACTTCATCGTCCTCACGCTGTTCGGGAACTGTATCCTGCTGCGGGGCCGGGGCCGGGGCCGGGGGCCGGCCGGCGGCCTGGGCCGCGCGCTCCGACCCTGCCCGAGCAGGCCCCGTCCTGCCCCCCTGGGGCCGGTTCCGCCCCTCCGTGCTCCTCCGTGCTCCCCTGGTCCTGCCCTGGGCATGGGAAGGGCCCCACGGGCACCCTCGGCTGCCGGCAGTTCAGGGAGGGGCGGCTCGGCCTCAGAGTGCCGTCCGGAGCCTGTGAGGCGACGGCCTGAGAGGCCGGCGGGGGCTGAGCAGCAAGCGTTGCTGCTGTTGGCCCCACACAGAGCTGCCCGCTGCTCAGGGCCCCCGGGCCCAGAGCCCTGTGTGGTGGTCAGGACTGTGGGCGCTGCTCGCTGTTGGGGTCGGGAGTGCCCGGCCCGGGGTCAGCGGTGCCCGGGGTCGAGGTGACCCCGGAGGGCCTGGCTCCGCAGGCACCGTGTGTGGGCACAGCACAGAGGGCTAGGGTGCTCCCCCAGGGGCGCAGCGAGCCCAGAGGTGAGCGGTGGAGGGGGCGCTGCAGGGTCTGGTCCGGGGCGACTCGGGCAGGGCAGCCGTGCCCGGACCTGCCCTCGGCCCCTCGTGCCCCTGGTCCCCGGGCCAGCTCGCCCCTCTGTGTGGCCTTTGTCCCCTCCTCCCTGAGAGGGCAGCGTGGTGGGATGGGGTCGCGGGCCCCTGGGCTCTCGGTGGGCCAGGTGCCAGGTGCCTGGAGCTGGGTGCCCGGTGTCCTGTGCCGCTAGAGGGACTGAGAGCGTGGCCGGCGTCCGTGAGCCTGACCGGGGACGAGGGTTTGCACGGGTGTGTCTGCCTGTCTGACGTGGCCGCTGCCCACAGCACCCACGGGTGGGGGAGGCCCGTGCCGCCGCCGAGGCAGACCGGGTTTGTTGGGAGGCTTCTCTCGGTGGTCCCAGAAACTGGGGGGGTGGGACGGGAGGAGGCAGTCCAGGGGCCTCCTGGGGGGCGGGGGCGAGTTGACCCCCCATGGCTTCTGAGCGGGGGCCTGGAGGTCACCCCGAAGAGCTGTGCGGGGGAGGGGAGCCTGCGAGGGCAGGGGCACTGGGGACGGCGGTATGAGGTGCGGCCAAAGCCGGGGCCACCACGGGCCCTGGCGGTGGTTCTGGGCTGCGTCTGGGCGACTGGCCCAGGGGCTAGCGGCTCGCAGGGGCCTGTGGACGCCGAGGGCGGGAGGCTGCAGGGTGGTGGGCATCGGGGGCTGGGGGCCCTGCTTTCCACAGGTTTGGCCGTGAGGGGATGAGTCGGGATAGAAGGGTTCCCTTCCTTATCTGGAGCCAACCAGACACCTTGCTGAACGTCTTCCTGGCCATCGCCGTGGACAACCTTGCCAATGCTCAGGAGCTGACCAAGGTAGGGACGTGCCCCGCAGACCTGGCGCAGAGGGTGGGGGTGGCCCTGTCACTCCGCGTGAGGCCAGAGAGCCGTGAGGAGGGCGTAGATTCAGAGCCCGTGGGGCCGCTGCCCGGGGGTGTGGCTGGGCGAAGTTAGGCTGTCACTGGGGGCGGGAGAGCTGCCCCAGGAAGCCTGAGGGGTCCCGGTGCCGGGAAGAGGGACCCTGGGGCAGAAGCCGTGTGAGGGTCAGGGGCTCCAGGTGGCCGTGTGCGGGGACGGCTGTGCTTGTCCCTGGGTGGTGAGGGGACCCCAGGGTTGGTCGCAGGCGTGGGTGGTGGAGTGCAGGGCGGGGGTCAGGTGCTGTTCTCAGACTCCGGGCCAGCGGGGGCAGCTGGTGCTGCCTTCTCGGCAGGCGCTGCCCAGCCGGACGCCCTGCCCCGCTGATGGGAGATGCCCCAGCAGGCTGCCTCTGCTCTCTGCACCCCTGAGCCCGGGGGGTGCAGTTCCACACGCCTCCCCTGTGGCTCCCCTCCAGAGGACACGGCCCCCTGCTCGGTCGCCTCCATCCGCACGGCCCCGTGGTGCTGCTGGGGACGGCCCGCTCACAGGGACCTAGTTTTGCCGTCGTTGTGAGCCTCAGAGCCGAGGGCAGCATGCCGTGGTCACGTGGAGAGCGCCGGCTCTGGGGAGCCTCGTAGGCCCGGGGTTGGGGCGGTGAGCAGCCCACTGGCCGATGGGGCTCCGGGGCCTGTGACCTCAGCCTGGAGCGGTTTGCCTGGAGCCCAGGAGCGCAGTGCGTGGGGTCCGGGCCAGAGGCAGGGCAGCGTGTCTGCACCTGTGTGCACTCACGGGCACCCGCCACCCCGCCCCTCCCCGGGGCACAGAGCCATCGGGTCGTCGCCAGGACTCGTGTGGAAGGAACCCAGGGCCAGGTGCTGCAAGTGGCCGCCCGTGTGTGGGGGGCAGCAAAGAGGGACCGTTCAGAGTCACAGCTGGGGACGGGGGGGGCAGGCAGAAAAGCTCAGAGGCTGCGAGGTGCCCTTGCTAGACGTCCTCCGGGTGACCACTCCTGTGGGCAGTGCGGCCAGGTGTGGAGCCCCGGCCGTCCCTTGCAGCTCCGGGGCGGAGGCTGGCTTGGTTCGGGCTTGGCCGGTGCTCCTGGGGGCGGGGCAGGGGCCCTGGGGAGGACCGGGTCTGCATTCTGGCTCGAGGAGGCCCAGGTGCTGTGCCACAGACACACACGCCTGTGCAGGCTGTGCTCACACGGGAGCCCTCAGCCTGGCCCCAGGCTCCGAGGACAGGAAGGACTCGGTCCCGGAGGTGGGCTCTGTCTGAAGCACGGCCGTGCGGCTCCGTCTGCTCGCAGGATGAGGAGGAGATGGAAGAAGCAGCCAACCAGAAGCTCGCCCTGCAGAAGGCCAAGGAAGTGGCCGAAGTCAGCCCCATGTCGGCCACAAACGTCTCTGTTGCCGCGTAAGGCTCTGGAGGGTGGGTGGGTGGTGGTGGTGGGGCCCCCTCAGGGCGGTCCTCTGGAGGCCCCTTGCCTCGGCTGGAGCTCCTCGGGACGGGCCCTCCTCCCCCCCGCCCCGGGCGGCCGTGGCCGGGGTCGTGGCACCCTCTCCCGCAGGAGCCCAGGGGCGAAGGGTTCGTGAGGCAGCACCTCCGGCCCCCCCGTGGGAGCAGCCGCAGGACGTGGCAGCAGGTGCCCTCACGTGGCAGCGAGCGCTCCCTGACGGTCGTGGGAGGTTCTGCCCCCCACCCCACGCCCCCCACACCCCGGCAGAGGGGGTGCGTCAGGGGGAAGGACCCGGGCTCCGTCCGGGTTCCGTGCAGCTTTTCAGAGCACGTGTTTCGTGAACCAAGCGATTGCCGGTGGCGTGTCAGCGGCCCCAAGACTTAGTGCAAAAGACTTAACGCCCCTGGGTTCTGGGAACTGGGCGGCGGGCAGGGAGACGCCTCCGTGGTGAGTAAAGGTGAGGGCGGGGCCTCGGCCTCTCGGGGAGACGCGTCACCCGCAGATCCCGCGGGGCCCCCGGGCGCGCCGCTGAAGCCCGACGGGGGGCACCGAGGGACTTGGGCAGCGGTGGGACTGGGCGTGTGGCCCAGGGATGAGGGTGGCCGAGGGCCAGGCAAGGTCAGCCGTGGCAGGAGAGCCTGGCACCCGGCCTGGGCCCAGGGTGACCGCGAGAGCGCACAGATGCACTGCTTGGCCGCACCCCGCGCCCCGGGCCCAGCGCCGCCGGGGCCGCTCTTCTGTGGTGCTGGCCGTGGGACGGCCGCTGTATCCGTGGGGTCACGAGGACATCGGCGGCGGGTCTGAGACTGTGCGTGTCCGGTTGTGTGTGTGTCCGTCCGTGTCCTGTGTGTCCACACCCACGAGGGAGTGGATGAGTGTGCATGGGCACGAGCAGGCAGCACAGCGGCCCCGTGGTCTTGGGGCCCGTGCCACCCGGGCACCCAGGATGCCAGCTGTGGCCCGACCTCCACCCGGGAGCCCCTCCCCACCTCCCAGGGCCCCTGGGCTGGCCCGGGGGTCAGCCTGGTGTCGGCTCGTGCCCCTGTGTCGCCCGGCAGGCTCCCCGGGGTGCCAGTCCTGGCCTCGGCCCTCTGTCGGACACTCAGTGGGTCCTCCGTGGCCACCAGAGATGCCGCGCGCTGGGCAGGGCCTGCCCCGGCGTGTGTGGACGGCGGGGGTCGGGGCCCTGCGGCGCTGTGCTCCGTGCTCCCGTGTCTGTCTGTCGTCTGCCCCGCCCCCTCGTTTCCTGTCCTCCAGGTCAGTCCTGTCGCTGGACGGGCAGGGCCCGCGCGCCCAGGGCCCCTCCACACAGCGCCCATGGGGGTGAGAGCAGCCACCGAGGGACCTTCGCCTTGACCCTGCTCCCTGTCGAGCTGTGTGGCCCGTGGAGTGGGGGGGGGACGCTTTCTGTGACGTGTGGGCGTGGAGGGGACCGTCCGTGTCCTGGGTGTTCGGGGGGCTCCTGTCCGTGCTCGGGGGAGGTGGGCACAGGCGCTGCCCGAGGGGGCAGGGGCCGAGCCAGAGTCCCGCCTCAGAGGGACTGCCCCCGAACACTCTCACACCCCTGCACATCCACTCGACACTCCCACACCGGCACACGTTCACATTCACACACGTTCACACTCACCCGTGTTCACATCTCCCCTGACACACACACACAGTCACGCTCACACAGGATCCCACTCACCCCACATGTTCGTACATCCACACATGTTCACGGAAACTTTCACACCTACCCTGCACACTCACACAACCCTCCTCATTTGCACACTCACACACACATTCACATCTGCCCTGCACACGCATGTTCACACACACACCGACGCCACACCCTCACACACTCGTTCCCACTAACATCCTCATTCACAAACGTGACACGTAGTCACACACCAATTTACACACTCTCTTGCACACACACCCCTGCTTATCCCCAAGGCCTCCAGGCAGGTGAGTTGCCCAAGCGCCTCACAAGTGCCCGTGCCCTCGGCCCTGAGGAGGCGGCGCCGAGAGCGCCCGGCCTCCCCTGGGGAAGCCACTGGGAGGGGCGATGGTGCAGGGCACTCGCCTTCTCGCGGCTGGCTTTGGAGAAGCTTCCAGAAAGTCACTTGGAAATGGAGGGAGGCACACCCGAGGGAACGCGGGTTGGGGATGATGTCACCTGTTTGCGCTGGGAAGGGTCCCGGTGGCCTGGAGCTGGGGCCCAGGGCCGCTCTGGGGGAGGGCAGCGCAGGGGGCGGCAGCAGGGCCCAGGGGCCACTCCGCTCCTGCCAAGCCTCCAGCTGCCCCGCGGCCCCCGGTCTGGAGGGCCGCCGTGCGGAGCCCGGCCCGCAGGGTCCGGCTCTGCGCTCCCGGGGCAGGTGGGCCGGCTGCGGCAGGCGGCCCCGAGACGCACCCTTGCCCTCCCCCCGCCGGGGTTTGCCGGGTTCACGCCAGCCTCCCCTCTGTGCCGGACGCGCTCTCTCTCTCAACTTCTCTTTTACCCCGAGGTCGCGGCCGGTGACCGAGTGGACGGAGCGTCCCTGGCCTCCCGCCCAGACGCACACCGCAGCCTGCACGCTGACCTGCGCGGCTCATGCGTGTGCTCGTGTGTCTCAGAGCTCCCTCTGGTCTTCTCACTCCCATTCTGTTCTGTTCTGTTTCTCGCATGTGCAGTTTTGTAAAGCAAACTCGAGCTACTGTCTCTCGCAGCTCGTCCGTCTCCAGCGCAAACTCACCGTGAGTCGCTGCGGCCCCCGCCCTCGCTTCACGGCAGCTGCACGCCAACACCTCCCCTCCTCACTCTGCTTCCGCCCCCGGTCATCTGCTTCAGGGGCAGCTCCGGGCAAGCCTCCTGCAACCTGGCAGGGATGGTGGGCGCGCTTCCCGGCGTCCGGCTCCGAGCCCGGCCCCTCCTCCTCTCCCTCCTGGTCTCTGTCCTCTCGTCTGCTGTCTGTCCGTGTGCCGTCCGTCACTCTGGGGTCTCGGGTCTCCTGGTGGCCTCTGTGAGGGGGCACGGTCCTCGGTGCACCCTGGGGCATCCTCGGGGCCCTCCTGACCCATCCCGTCCTTCCTTGGGGTAGGACGTGTCTGGGACCCTCGTGAAGTCCTCGTCCCAGCAAGAGCAGAGCTGCTTCCGGTCGTGAGGTTCGCAGGAGATCAGCAGGGCCCGAGGCACAGCCACGGGGACCCCAGACAGCCCTCCTGGGGCAACACCAGGTGGCTAGGGAGGTGGGCCCGGGAGGCTGCACCCCAGGGCTTCCTCCTCAGGGTGAGCGCAGGCCATGCGGTGGGGAGTGCGGGCAGGAGCTGGGGACAGTCGGGCTGCCCAGACGGAGGGGCGTCCTGGTGGTGGCAGTGGCCCCTGCCGTCCCCGCGGCCAGCGCCGAGGTGGGCTCAGTCCCCCACAGGCACCCAGAGCCGCTGGCTGCTGGGGCCCCGGTGTCTCCCAGGGCGAGGCAGCTGGATCTGGGGCGACCGACTGGCAGGTGGAGGGAGGTGGGGACGGAGGGGTGCGCGTCGTCAGCCGCTGCGGGCGAGTGGGCTTCTCGGCCCAGAAACCTCAAAGTGGGGCCACGGCCCAGAGGCAGGCACCCAGAGGCGGCGCCCGGGCGGGCTGTGCCCGCCGGCGGGCGTAGGACACGGAGGGAGCAGTTCCTCCGTGTGACCCTCGGAGCACCCTCATGTCTGTGAGAGGCTCTGTCTGCAGAGAGAGGGCGAGGGCGGGGAAGGAAAGAGGGAAACACCGATTGGTTGCCTCTCGTAGGCGCCCCTGCCAAGGACCAGACCCGCAGCCCAGGCCCGTGCCCTGAGCAGCAATCACACCGGCAGCGCTTGGCTCTGCCGGACGAAGCCCCGCCCACTGAGCCCTGGTCCGTGAGGACTTTGCCTGGACCGGAGCCCGCAGCCGCCCTGGCCTGCAGGGCCGAGGGCAGTGGTCCTTGCTCTCACGCCTCCGCGCTGCGTGTGCACTCAGGGCAGAGAGGCCAGTGCCAGGGCCGGCGGCCGACTCAGACGCCGGGAGGGAGCGAGGCCACGCACAGACTGGTGTGCGTCCGGAGAGGAGGCCAGCGGCTCAGCTGGGACCGGGCCTGCAGGCAGCGTGGGCAGCACGGGCCCAGCGAGGCGGAGACCTGCAGGCCGGGGCAGGCCCTGCTCCCTGGAGAACTCTCGAGGGGGGACCACCAGCCCCGCGGTGCCCTCCCGTCCAGCCCAGTCAGTCCCCCACTCTGTGACCTTCAGCTGGTTCCTGGGCGGGAACAGACCGTGGGGGTGGAGGGCACAGCCGGTCCATCGGCAGCCACTGCTGCCCTGTCTTTGCGGCCTGTCTGTCCTGGCAGAGCTGGGCCTCGGGACCGCGGCTGAGTCTGAGTGAGCAGCCAGCCTGCTGACCACGTGGCCCAGGCCCTGGGCCCGTCTGGGGTGACAGGGGGCGCTGAGGCAGTGGCCAGCACCCTCGAGGCTTCTACACACGGGTGCACCCCGCCTGCTGTCATTGTTTCACACGGGTCGGCCGCGCTCAGAATCAGGCTCTGCGCTGTGGTGTCGGCTGTGGGTGGGCGGGTCCCTTGTGGCTCCAGGTAGAAGCCAAAGAAAGAAGAGGTGGGCTTCCTGCGGGGGGCCCTAGGGGCAGGGCCTGGGGCGGCAGGCAAGGGCGTGAGTCAGCAGGTGGCCAGAGAGGCGCACACAGGTCCCCCACGTGTCACCCTGCCCCCCCCCCCACCGTTGGGCCCCCAGGTGAGGGACAGGTGCTCTGCGCCCTGCCCTGAAGGGTTCCCACACGGGGACACCGACTCACCTTCCGAGGGCCAGGGCCCGTGTCCTCCATGTTGCCCAGGCCAGCGGGCGCCTCTCTGCAGGGTCCCCGCGGTGCCAGGGCCCCCCCCCCCCGAGCTGGTGGCCGGGCTGCCGGGGACCCTTCAGGCTGCAGCCCAGGTGTGCTGTGGCCGAGGCCGGGGGTGGCTGGGGCCGCCTGTTGTTGTTAGACCCTGGTGTCCGGTCCCAGCCCCGCCAGCGACTCCTGGTGGGACCCTCGAGGGTCGTGCCCTCTGGGCTGTGTCCTCGTCTGCGAAGTGGGAACAGCACTCGACCCCCAGGTGGTTGTGGGGGTCGTAGGAAGAGGGCCACTGAACAACACAGATGTCACTGTCGTCCTTGTTCTCTGGCTGCCGGTGCCGCCCCCACCGTGGTCTGGTGACCTCTGGGGACGGAGGGTGACCCTCCCACCTCGGAGGTCTGCTTGGCCGAGGGGCCTGGGTCGCCTGCTTGGAGGTTTTCTCAGCAAAGGACCCAGAGTGCGCAGGTCTCTCCGCGTTCCCGGGTGCGAAGCCCACTGAGAGGAGGTGGGCAGGGTGGAGGCCGGGGTGGCCTGTCCGGTGAGGGCTGAGCCGGGACCCCAAGTCACTCCCGGGGCGGCTCTGGCTCTCCCTGTGGGCGGGGGTGGGGGTGCTCTCCACGGAGCCAGGAGAGAGCAGGGCACTGGTGACCACGGGAGGTCGTGTCTCCTGCGAGCAGACAGGCCCTGAGCTGAGTGGCAGTCTCCCTGATGGGGCGGCCCCCCCAGGGGCAGGCCCGGCTCCCTGGCTGCTCCCGAGGGGGCAGCTGCATCGCGGTGCCTGCTCCCTGGGCTGTGCCCCCTGCTGGCCCCAGTCCCTCTGGACAGTGGCTGCCTCTGGGAGGTGCAGGGCAGAGTTCCCGCCTGGGGCAGCTCTGCTCTCCTGTGGCAGGGCCCCTGGCCTCTGGCCTCCAGCCTGACCCTTGGGCCTACCCATCTGCACGCCCCTCCACCCCCCATTCTGGCTTTCTTGGTCAGCGGCCCACCTGTCCTGGGGCCTGGCTGCCACCTCATGCTGGTGCCCATCATCCCCACTTCCCCGTCCCTCTTGGCCTCAGGCCAGCGTCCAGGGCTCCGGAGAGGCCTTGTGCCCCACCCCGCCCCACACCCAAGCACCTGCGCGTGTGAGCAGGTGCTCACTGCGCAGTGTTAACCTGGGTGCCCACCTGCCCTGTTGCATCAGTTGCCGGGGTCTTGAGGGCTCCTGTGCCCCTGTACCCACCTGCTCCCTGCACCCACTCCGCCACCCATCCCTCCATCGCTGTGTGTCATCTGTGGCTTCCCCTGCGAGGCGGAGACGTGGGGGTGTGCAGGGGGCGCTCACCTCCCATCTCCCCGTAGCCGGCAGCAGAACTCGGCCAAGGCGCGCTCGGTATGGGAGCAGCGGGCCAGCCAGCTGCGGCTGCAGAACCTGCGGGCCAGTTGTGAGGCGCTGTACAGCGAGCTGGACCCCGAGGAGCGGCTGCGCTTCGCCACCTCGCGTCATCTGCGGCCCGACATGAAGACGCACCTGGACCGGCCCCTTGTGGTGGAGCCTGGTGCGCGGGGATCGGCGGGGGGCAAGGCCCGGCCGGAGGGCACGGAAGCTGTGGACGGTGCAGACCCACCGCGCAGGCACCACCGGCACCGCAACAAGGACAAGGCCGCTGCCCCGGCGGCGGAGCAGGACCGGGCTGATGCCCCAAAGACGGAGGGCGGGGAGCCCGTGGCCCGGGAGGAGCGGGCACGAGCGCATCGGAGCCGCAGCAAGGAGACCGCAGGGGCCCGGGAGGTCCGGAGTGAGCGCGGCCGCGGAGTGGGGCCTGAGGGCGGCCGGCGCCACCACCGGCGTGGCTCCCCGGAGGAGGCGGCCGAGCGGGAGCCCCGGCGCCACCGCGCGCACCGGCACGCGCCCGACACGGGCAGGGAGCGGCGCGCGCGGCACCGTGGTGGCCCCCGGGCCGGGTCCCGGGAGCCGGAGAGCGGGGAGGAGCCGGCGCGGCGGCACCGGGGTCGGCATAGGGCACCGCCAGTGCACGAGGATGCGGAGAAGGAGGCAGCGGAGAAGGAGGGCGAGGCCGAGGACGCGGACAAGGAAAAGGAGTCCCCGACCCCGCAGCCCCAGTGCGTGAGCGCGTTCACCGCCCCTCCCCCTGCGCTCTGTCTCCGCCCCCTCCGGGCGGTGCCCGTCCTGCCCGGGTGAGGGGACTGGAAACCGCCTGAACCGCTCCCTGAGAGCCAGCCTGCACGTTAGGGCTCCAGGAGAAAGAGAGGGCTCCCTGGTAGATTGTGGGGGCTGGCCTGGCACGCGATGGCTTGGGAAAGACCAAGTACCCGGGGAGAAGAGGACACTGCGGAACCTGAGGAAGGAGTGGGCGGGCCGAGGAGCCCCCAGCGCCGAGGGGCCGGGGCAGGGGTCCTCGGAGCCCAGAGCTCAGATCTCAGATCAGCGGGCCCCATGCTCGCCAGCCGGTCACACAGCACCCAGAGCCAGCCACCAGCCAGAGGGTCTGCGCTGGCCACGGGCGGGGTCACTAGGGCAACGTCCTCTTCCAAGCTGTTCGTTCTGCAGAGGGCGCTGTTTCACACGCCCTCGTCGCCTTGTGAGGCGGCCCGGGGACGGACAGCTGAGTCGACCCCATCCCCACGTTTTAGAACTAAAAACGTGCGGAGGGATAGAGAGCCCTGTGGAAGGCTGGTGGAGCAGAGGGGGCGGCGGGGGTTACTGGAGCCCGAAATAGGGGTTTGGCGGAGTGAGCGGGAGCGTGGGGCTGGGCCGCCTGAGCCCCTGACGCTGGCTCTCGGTTGCAGGGAGCCGCACTGCGACCTGGAGGCCCCAGGCGCCGGGGGCGCGGGCCCTGTGCGGGCGCCGCCTGGAACCTGTGTGCCGACGGCGGAGGAGCAGCCGGAGGACGCCGACAATCAGCGCAACGTGACTCGGATGGGCAGCCAGCCCCCAGACCCAGGGGCCCCCGCGCACACCCCGGTGACTCCGGCCGGCCCTCCGGGCGAGACCGCCGTCACTCCCAGTGAGTATCTCCCCAAACCCGCACTTGGCTTCTCCCGTCCCTCCTGCCTCTGTGCGTCGCCCCCGCCCAGCCGGAGGGAGCTTCACGTGCCGTCCGCACCGGTGCCTCGGCGCCCCTTGGCTTCTGCCCCAGCCCAGGGCGGCACTGCCTACTCCCCTGCCTTCCAAAAACACCTGCAAGTCCCCAGCCAAGTGCCAGGCGCGGGGCCAGAGCGCCAGGGACACGGCAGGAGGGAGGGGGCCCCGGGCTGCCCTGTGGGGCTTACAGTCTCATCAGGAGGACAGGTCACAGCATGGTCACAACCGCATGCAAGCTGCTGAGGACCGCGTCCACCGGCTTGACTGGGCCGGCACCTGTGGGTGCCGAGGGGGAGGCCCTGGGGGTGGCCTTCCCTTCTACCCCTGTGCCCCGTCACCCCTCCCCCCCAGGCTTCGCTTTCCTTCCCTTGCTCCCTCGTGGGCAGGAGGGCCTCGGGGAGCAGCCGACACTGGCCACTGGCCGTGTGTGGGCCCGAGGCTCCCGGGCAGGCCAGTCCCCATCGCGTCGGGGCAGACCTGCAGGTGGCAAGCCCAGGCCTCTCACGCTGTGCGGGGGTTGGGGGGCGGGGGCGGCTGTCGTGTGGCCCCGGCGCTACAGAACACGTTCCAGGGGCGCGGGCAGAGACTGCAGGAGCAGGGCGGACCCGGATGCCGCAGGAGGGTTCCCGTCCTGAGCAGACCAGGTGCTGCCGTGGGCCTGGCCGAGTCCCACCCCCGGGGAGCAAGGGAAGGACTGCCAGCCCCGGCCACCTCGCCCTCCCCCTCCTTCCTGGTGGTTTCACCTCCGTGGCTGCCAGTGACGGTCTCCCCGGACTCCCAGGAGCAGCCCCACTCTGGCCCTGGCCCTGACCCTGACCCTAGATTAGCTTGAGGACCAACCCAGCGCCCCGCCTGGCGTGTGTTCCCAGGTGAGGCCCCGCCTGCCCAGCCTCTGGCAACCGCCAGTCTGTTTTGTCTCCACAGTTGTCTCTCCTCCCGGCATGTGGTGGGCTCGGACCCCCACAGTGTGGGCCTTGTCAGTCGGGCCCTTCCTGCTGAGTCACAGGCCCCGTTGCTCCGCCTCCCGCTGGGCCTCCCGCTGGTTCGCTTCTCTGTGGCGCTGATGAACCCCCCGCCGCCTGGCGGGACCACGCTTTCTTTCCACGCAGCTACTGGAGAGCCGCTGGGTTGCTCCCGAGTCTCAGCAGCCGTGACTGAGGCTGCTGTCGTGCGGGTGCAGATTCTGCGTGGACGTGGTTTTCCACTCCTTTGGGCGGGTACCACGGAGAGCAATCGCTGGCTGTGACTTTGTAAGAAGCTGCCCCACCGGCCCCACGGTTCTGCGTTCCCGCCAGCGCCACGGGAGCCGCGGCAAGGGGCGGTGTGAGCGCGCCGCACCCCGGCCCCGCGGGCGGGTGTGCCGTGGCGTCCGGTGCTCGGCGTGCGCGCCTGCTGCCTGTGCACCGTCCGGGGGGGTCTGTGCGGGTGCCTGGCGCCTTTTTCAACCAGGTTGTCTGTCTTCATCTGTGTTTTTAAGATTCTCTGTGCACGTTGCATGACAGTCTTTTACCGACTGTGCCTTTCGCAAATGCTCCCTCGCAGCCTGAGGCTCGTCTTCTGCTGCTCCTGCTCCTGCTGCCGCCTCTCGCAGACGAACGCTGCTGGTGGAACGCAGCCCGGGTCGCTCGCCACGCCCTCCGTGGGCTGCCCCTGCGGCGCTCCGCCCAGAAGGGGCCGCGCACCCACCCGTGCCCCTGCGTCAGCACCCAGGTCGCCTCCTCCGGCTCCGTCTCACACTGAGGCCTGGGGGCCTGCGAGGCGTGGGAGTCTGTGTCGAGGTTGCGCGTGGTGTCCACTTGCCCCGGTGCCGTTTCTGGGAGGGAGTGTCCTCGTCCCACTGTGTGTCACTGGTCCGTGGGCCTTAGTTGAGGGTCTGTGTCCGCCGTCCCCGTTCGTCGCTCCGTCCGTGGGTCCTTCCGCTGACTGGGCGCCGCCCCAGTGGCTGTGACCTTGGGGCTGGACTCGGCGTTGGGCGCCGCTCCAGCGCTCTTTTCCTCAGTGCGGCCTCGCGCTGCTCTGGGTCCCTCGCCTCCGTGCGCACCTCGGGGTCCGTCGGCCTTCGCCCGCGAAATGCCTGGCTGGGGCTGCGCCGCGGGTCCCACGGGGAGGACTGACTGACACCGACGGCTGGAGCCCCCTGCCCGTGGGCGAGGACCGTCTCCGCGTTTGTTCAGGTCTCTGCTCTGTCCCTCCGAGGGTCCCCGTTTTCCTCGCGGAGACCCTTGTACACGTTTTGTCAGGCTTGTTCCCGCCTGTTTCGTTTCTGGGGGGCCAATACAAGCGGTCTTCTCTGAAGTTCAAGTTCCGCCCGTCCCTTGCTGGCAGTGGGACACAGAGCGGTTGACTCGTGTGCGTGCGCCCGGCAGCCGCCGCTGCCGGAGCCTCCGCGCTGCCGTCGGCTCTCCTCGGGCGTCGGCGTTCGGGCCTCCTTCCTTGTCCTTCGTCGGTCTGACCAGCGGCGTCTCCGTCGATCTTTTCAAAGAAACAGCTTTTGGCTTTTCAGTATTTTCTATTGATCCCCTATCTAACATTTTATTGATTTCTGCTCTAATTCTTTTTTTTCCGTAGGTTACTTAGGATTTAATTTGCTTTTCTTTTTCTGGTGTCCTAAGGTGGAGGCTTAGATGACTGATTTTAGGTCTGTCTTCTCCTCTAACACGTGCGCTCAGAACGGTGCCCTTCCCCGGCTGGTGCGGCCCCGTGGCCGGCCCTCGACCCGGAGGCTGGCGGTCCGATGCCCCGGGTCAGGCACGTGCCTGGGTTGCAGGCCAGGTCCCCGGTTGGGAGCGCTCGAGAGTCAACCAACTGATGTCTCTCCCTCTCTTCCTCTCTCTAAAGATAAATAAATAAATATCAGCCACGACCCCCCCCCCCACGACACTGATGTGAGACGCCTGTGTTCCCGGCCGTGTGCGTGGGGCGCCCGCGCTCTGCGGGGACTTCGCCCGGGGAGGTCGGCAGGCCTGCCCATCCACGGAGAGAATCGGAAAGTGTTTCCTGCCTTCCTGTCCGGGCCGTGCCGGTGGCGCCAGAGCTCCCTGCTCTCCAGAGACTCGGGAGGGTTTCCCCGTGAAGCCGTATGGGTCTGTCAGGGGGGAGAGTGGGTCTCTGGTCATCTCTCTGTTTCTGTGTGGGTCACGCTCTGTCTACACCGTCTTACCTCCCGAGATCGGTTTGGTGAATTGTAATTTCCCTAGAAATGACGCATCTGATTGAGGTTTTGTGAGTCATGCAAAGAAGTGGCTTCACTTTTTTGGAAGTTTTTACTTTCCTGTTCTTAAATTCTCTTTCACTTAACTTCCTTATAGAACAGAGACTTTAAAATCTCTCAAAAGAATTTTACCACCAGTTAAAACTTTTTTATTCATTTACCGTTTGAATTCCCACTCCCCACCCCTGTCCTTCTGCAGCCGTCACGCTGTTCTCTGCATCTGTGGGTCTGTTTTCACTTCGTTTTGCTCACTCCATTTCTTCGTTTTTGTAGATTCCACACGTACACGAGGCCGTGTGGCCTTTGTCTTTCTCTGTGTGACGTTCTCCACTGAGCACAATGCCGCGAAGACCCTTCCCCGCTGTCGCAGATTCCGTGTCCCCTCTGCTGACAGCCTGCCCCGCCCTCGACTGCAGACGAGGCTGCAGTGAGCGTGGGGGTGCGAGTGTCCTCTCACACTAGCGTTTCGTTTTCCGTGGGTGAATGCCCGGGGTGGAGCTGCGGGGTCGCATGGCGGTGCTGGTTGTGAATCGTCCGAGGAAGCCCCCCGGCACCGTGTCCCACCGTGGCTGCAGCAGCCTGCACGCCCGGCAGCGCACGAGGGTCCCTTGCACCGTGTCCGGCCAGCCCCTGCTGTCTGCTGGTTTGCTGCCGAGTGCCGCTCCGACAGGGCTGCCTCGGCGGCGTCTCTCCGGTGACTGGTGACAGGGAGCGTTTTTTTTTTCGTGTCTGTTGGCCGTCCGTGTGTCCTCTTGGAAAAGTGCCCAGTCGGCTCCTCTGCCCCCTTTTTAATGAATTGGGCTGTTTTGGTGTTGAGCTGTATGAGTTTTTAGTAAATTTTGTGCATTGCCCTTTGTAGGATGCGTCACCGGTGAGTATCTTCTCCTGTTTAGTGGGCTGTGTTTTCGTTTTGCTGGTGGTGTCTGTAGCTCTGCCAAAGCTGTTGGTCTGAGGGTTCTGTTTGTTTATCTTTTCTTTTGTCCTCTTGCTCAGACATATCCAAAAAATATTTCTAGGAACAATTTTAGGGAGTTTACTGCGCATGTTTTTTTCAGGGAGTTTTATGGTTTGGGGTCTAACATTTAAGCCTGGAACCCATTCTGAGTTTATTTCTGTATGTGGTGTAAGAATGTAGTTAAATTTTACTTTGGGGACATGTACCTGTCCAGTTTTGCCAACACCAGTTATTGAAGAGTTACACAAAGAAGTGGCTAATTTGAAAAAATTTTGTGTGGTTCAGTGTTTTTTTCCCTCTTTGTCATTTTTTAATTCTTCATCTTCTGTGTTCTTCCCTTTTTCTTGACTAAATTAGTTAGTGGTTTTATATTTTGTAGATTGTTATAAAAAGAGTCAGCATTTTAATTTATGTGTTAGTTCTACTGTGTTTTTGTTTTTTAACTCATTACTTTCCAACTGTATCCTCCCATTTCCCTGCTGCCTTTTTACTTTGTTTTACTTTGTTTTCTAGCTTCTTGAGTTGGAGACTCAGCTTACTTTATTCTTGAATTTTTATTGTATGACTATGTCACGACAGGAATGTTCCTCTGATCGCTAATTAATTGCATCCCACAGACTCTAGCCTCTGGTGCCTTCATTCTCATCCAGTTCCGGGGGGACCAGGCGGTTCGGGGCGTGTTTCCTCCTGGCGTGTGGGGCTCCCCGGCTCTGTGGATGTCGCCTTCCCTCCAGCAGGCCCTCTGGCCCCCCTCCTC